ATTTTATTACTCAGAACCTGTGTTCTGTCACGTAAGAAACATGAATGCAAATACATCCAGTCCAATCAATGAATCTTGTTATATGCCAGTTGGAGTAATGTACTGGAGCTTATTTTGGGAGGTGGAGCAGAATGAATGTTCTTAGGTGCTGTAGAATCAGGGAAAGTGAATGTTTGCCTGACGTCTCCCCAGTAATTTTGATAGCCACAAAAAAAGAGGAGTTACTTATTTCTTCCCCTTGGTTGAGCTTTCACTTTACCTACTATGCTTTTGTACAAGTAGAAAGAATCAGTTGAATTGGACTTTGCCCACATTGCTGCAGAGTAGTGGGTTGCTTCTCATAGTGGTAATACTAAAGATTTTAAAAAATGCAAGGTAGTGGGTGGATGTGTAAACAGGGAACAGGTTTTTTCCTTTATACTGATGGCTGAATTCTTGATTCCTCTCTCAAACTGCAGTTAGAAGGGAGTGTGGAGAGAAGCCAGGGACTGGCCACAGTGTTTTGGTTAGCGCTCTCCTTTTTCTTCTAGCAGCCTGCACTGGTGTTTAGTGTTCTTTTGTTAAAATCATATATATGTAGGATTTAAAAGGATGGCCTACACGAAACCTGTTTTCTTCAGAACCCAGTTATTCAACAGCTTCTGGCCGTTCATCTCTCTCTGCAGATTAGAAATCTGTGTTTTCCTTTTGACTCTTTCTAAAGCATGTGACTTCTCCTACCGTCCCTGGTTCTCCTCATCCTCTATTTCTGTTGCTTTGGATTCTGAATGGCTTGTCTCCTGTTTCCTCCGTGTCAGCTGCTTGTCTGGTAACGAGAGAGTGGGACGCTGTTTCATCATACGGCAGTTGAGAAAAAGTTGGCTTTCTGGGCTTTCTCAAAGATTGTGTAATGTCCAGTGGTATGTTGAGTCATTATCAGGATACTTGTGGAGAAGACTGAGGAAGTGATGATAAGTATGCCAAAGATGATACTTTCTCTAAGAGGAAATAGAGTAATGTTTATAGCGAGTGATAGGACTGTCTCCTGTATCTTGCTTAAAGAAACCTGCATATGCAGAAATTGGAATGACACTCAGGTGGGATTTTCACCAGCTGGTTTTACTGGTGACTCAGTCCTAGAGCCTTTCTAGGCAGATGATTAGGGTGTAGGAGAATGCCTGTTCTGTTCCGATGGGTGAGTATGGATCCTGGTGATTCTTCCAAGCCTGCTTGCAGGGACACTTATCTTTGGGGTTTTTTTGACTGTTCTGGTCTCTGCTTCCCTTGTGTTACTCAAAGAGCTGGAGTGTGATAGCTGATTTGCACTGCCCTTGGAGGTGCTAAAGGCAGCTTGGCTACAGCTGGGGAGGCACCAGGTGAGTATGTGGCTTCCTAATCTAGTTTGGAACATTCTTGGCAGAGATTGACTTCTAAGCACCCAAAACAAGGTATGATGCAATGGTATCATTTTCATGCCATTAAAAAAGAAAAGACAGTTTCAGTACAGAAGAAAAATAATCTGATTAAACTTCAGAAACCTTACAATGGTATCATCTTCATGCCGTCAAAAAAGAAGAGACAGTGTTTCAGTACAGAATAAAAATAATCTGATTAAACTTCAGAAACCTTTTCTAATACAGTATGAGCATATTTTACGTGGCAAGGAGTAAAAGGAGGTTGCTGTTGCACAAAGTGTTTTATTGTAAGGCATTCAGAAATCCTTCGTTTGTGGGTACAGTAGATGTATATACGGTCTCAATGTCAGGGTTCTGTTGTTGCCATGCTCTTACTTCACCAGAGGCAAGGGTCAGCCTGGAATTTGACATTGTTGTGGCTTCCTGCAGGAAACAGTGAAAATGCTGCTTGCTTTTTGACAGCTGCCGTGGAGGGAATGAACAGAGTAGCTGTTGATAGGCTTGAAACTTTGCCAGGAGGATGCCTGACTTCTGTTCTCCTCTAATGCATTTTTCTGTGCCTTTCCCCGTTCCAGGCCCAAATACTGTAGCAACTTAAAAGCTTTAGCTATTCCTGGGCAGCACTGGTCCCAGTATTAACCTGTGTTGTGTTATCTACACGCTCTTTTACTAGTGCCCAGGTATGATTTAAGGGGTATTTATTTTGCTGCCTTGTTTTCTAACGTTCCTTCTCCTCTGTGCCTGTTACCAAAGTTGAGGCCAGGGGATACTACTTCTTAGATTTTTCTAACGTTCCTTTTCCTCTGTGCCTGTTATCAAAGTTGAGGCCAGGGGATACTACTTCTTACTTAACAGGAAAAGCTATAACCAGAGGCAGAGACTTTTCAGCTGTTAAGTTCACTATCTGTTGAATTCACTCTTATCTCAAGGAGTGAATGGCAGCCCTCAAGACACTGCAGTTTGCACTTTTGAAGCTGTGGATGAAAATACATCTCTGTTTTGCTCTCTGTTCTTCCTTCGTGGAGTTACCACAGCCGTAGCGGTTTTATCTGCAACTAAAACTACAGCTGTGTTCCTGAACTACAGCAGGGCAAAGATTAAAGCAAATCTATATATAATTCTACAGTCAGACCTACAGTTCAGATCTAAGCAGCTCTCAAGAGCTGATATGCTCGTGGCAAATAGAAATTGAAAGAAAGCTCTGATCCTCTGGAGCTTAGTGGCGAATTTGGTGCGTTTCTTCCCAGTTTGTCAGTTCAGCTTATCGTTGGTGACCCAGGCACAACTCAGAGGAGATACCTCAGGAAGAGAAAGTAATCACAGCCAGTGATCTTCCAGACAACGTGAAGAAAGAAATATGAACATTGCAGTTCCAGCTTCTCCGATGATTTCTTCTTCTTCTCCCCAGTAAGATGAATAAACTCTTCCTGAATTAATCTGGGTGACTCTTCCTCCTTTTGTTTTCCATAGATCTTTCAATTTCAGATCTGGAATAAAGCTCCAAGTCTTTCAAGTGATATTCTTTGGATTACAGTTCTTAGACCAAGTATTAGTACTGGTATTTAAAGCTGTGACACCAAGAATAAAAAACTGAAGGGGATGAGAGAGGCACAGCCTTATATTGCGAGAATGAGCGCGAGCCTGTTAGGACCCTTTGTAATGAATGTCAGTTTCCAGGAGGAGAAAGATGGTGAGTGATATTAGTCGGGGAACACCTAATCCGTTTTAAAGCTTTATTTGTTTTTCTGTAATGAGCAGGAAGACAGATAAACACAGGGACTTGTGCTCAGTTCCTGAAGTGGCTAAAGATTGACATAAGTGCTTAGTAAAGTCTAAGCTTAGCAAAACACTTACTGAAAGTGGTGCCTATTGACTATTTTAGTGGACCTCTTATGATGGAGAAGAGCACAGTTAACCTTTAGATCTTCATTTTAGTGTGTGGCAACGGGTGAAGAACAGTCTTAATCCCGTGCTGGTATAAAATTATGGAAAATAGGAACTGTGCCTTATTGTAATAAAACTTTGAACAGTGGTTTGCCAAAGGAAAAGAGAAACCAATGTGAAGCAAGTCTGTGTAACTGGCTTGGATAAGCTGTGTCAAAGTCAAATAAGGAGGGGGGAGCTTAACCCTGCCCAACCCTGTAATTACCTAATCAGTGAAGTAGGGAACAATCGAATTAAGGTAAATGCAGATGTAATTAAAAATAATTCCCTGAATACCTTGCAGTATGGATGATCTATCACTTAGCTGTGATTACAGTGGTTTCAAACACTCCTTGTTTAAAGTCATCAGACAGATCTTTGAAAATTAGTTCATTTTAAATGGATACAGGAGGAATAATAACATAAAGTTTGAACCAGGGAGATGATCTGGCTTTTGAGAATAAGAAATAGTCAACTGACTGAGACTAGTTGGATATCAAGAACAAATCTTTTTACTGGATTCCAGGGGCTTTGGCTTTCGTGCCAACATAAATATGGGTGTCTCTCTAATAGCAGAGTTGCCTTGGATTAGTTTGTGCTTTTTGGAAATTTATGATATGAAATATACAGTTCACTTTTATACTTGCCTGTTTTAAGAAAATAGGGAGTTAAACGTTGAACTGGGCGCTCCTTTTCCTCTGGGTGTTTTGAAGTGAACTGAGGTCTTCTCTTTCTTAAAAAAAATAATGAAAATAATTTCTCATGTTTGTAAGTTGAGCAGACATACAGTGTTCTAAAACCTGAGCTGTGTTCACTAAAACACTGGAGATGACTCGGCAGGGCTGAAGAGAGGGTTGTAGGTGCGTAGCATTAATTTCAGCTGAAGTTCCTGGTGTTTGGGTCCGGAAAACAACTTGCTTGTGCTTAAGGTGGGTGTGGAGAATACTGTCCCTTGGCGAGTGAAGAGGCATCTAGTTCATACTGAGCTCTCTGCCTTTTTGGTGGCTTTATGGTCTCATCTTGTGCCTTTCTCAAGTTTTGTGAGGAAGGTAACTGTTCTGCTGAAGGGAACGGACGACCTCACTGTTCTGCTGAACACAAATTATGTCAAGTATGGGGAGAGGGGGGGCAGAGAAAGTAAATATTCAGATACAGGATGATGCCTGTGTCCCTCTAAAATTCACATTAATTTTTTTTTCCTCAAGTTTTCTTTCAGCTCTGATGTGATAATTAAAGACAGCGTGTTCTGACAAATCTGAAATGCCCTCTGGTACAGACTCATGCAGTTGAAAAATCCTTGTTTTCGAAATAAACTGTTCTGAGTGTACATGTTAGTGGCTTTTCTCAGATGTCTGATACCAGGCTGTCATCTTTAATTACTTCTCCGTGCTCTGTCTTTGTTCCTTCAAAGTATTGTCAGTTGTGAGCCCAAATCTGTTCCTAGTGTGTCTGCACAACTCGGTGATTTTTTTGGGTTCACTTGTGTCCTTAGAGAACGTGACTGATTTCAGTGAAACAACAAAGGGCCGCAAGCATGGAACAGTGTGCAAAATCATAACGATTATGGCTGTATATCTCCATATTAAAGTTCATTTCCTGCCTGAAAAAGTTCTTGTCATGCAGGTTTTAGCACTGGGAGTGAAGTGTTCCTGTACTTAATTTTCCTTCTATGTTCTCTTTAAGATTACATGATGGAATTCACGTTTTCTCAAGAAAAGCTGCGCATCTTGGATCAGGACCGCTGAAGATACCTTCTGATCCCAACACCCAAAGCAGGGTCCTGTAACAAATTTGTCAAAAGACCACGTACAATGGATCTCAAAGAGAGCTGCCCAAGTGTTAGCATTCCCAGCTCCGATGAACACAGAGAGAAGAAAAAAAGATTTACTGTAAGTAAGCAGGAGTGTAAGCACTGTAGGCAAATGTGTAGGCTATTAGTGCCTAGAAGTGCTACTTTCTTTTTTTTTTTTTTTTTTAACTAATAAGCTTGGTATTGTTTTGAACAGGTTTATGGAAATCTGCTCACTTGCTCTTGTGAGTACTGGCCATAGTCCAGTGTGAGAAGTTGTGAATGTTTTACAGTGTTTAACTGTGGTGCTTTCTGCAAAAAGAAGTTGACTTGACAGATTTCTGGGGGTTTTTTACCCTCAAATAGCAGCATTTTCTCATATAAAATACATACATATCCAAATGCAGGTGTCCAAATCAGATTAAGATTTGGTGTTCTGTATGATTTTTCATGAAAATGTTTATTGTGTAAAGGAGTAAAGTGTAGTTTTGATTGGTTTTTGTTCAAATGGCCAGTTTTTTTCATAGATATTATATTATTTATATTTTTTTGTGTGTAAAAGACCAAAAAAAAAAATCAAATTTTTGAAAGACTTTTTTTTCTGCCTTCCTTCCTGTTTTCTGATTCTAATGCCTATGAGCTTTTTCCTATCCTGTTCCCATTTCCACTCCTTGTCATTCCCCTCCCTTTTCCTTTTTTGGCCTCCAACTTTGACTTGCTTTCTGGAAATCAAGTCTTCTCCTTCCGTGGGGAAACTGCATGCTGAAAAATCAAGTAGTGTGGCATGGATTTTTGTTTTGCTGATACGTATGCTAGGATACAAAGACAGCATCATAATACTTCCTTTAAAAAGCTCAAAGTACTTCATTCCTCTTGTGCAACTTCCTCTAAGCTTTTTTTTTTCCTTTTTTTTTTTTTTATAAAATACATACATATCCAAATGCAGGTGTCCAAATCAGATTAAGATTTGGTGTTCTGTATGATTTTTCATGAAAATGTTTATTGTGTAAAGGAGTAAAGTGTAGTTTTGATTGGTTTTTGTTCAAATGGCCAGTTTTTTTCATAGATAGTATATTATTTATATTTTTGTGTGTGTAAAAGACAAAAAAAATCAAATTTTTGAAAGACTTTTTTCTCTGCCTTCCTTCCTGTTTTCTGATTCTAATGCCTATGAGCTTTTTCCTATCCTGTTCCCATTTCCACTCCTTGTCATTCCCCTCCCTTTTCCTTTTTTGGCCTCCAACTTTGACTTGCTTTCTGGAAATCAAGTCTTCTCCTTCCGTGGGGAAACTGCATGCTGAAAAATCAAGTAGTGTGGCATGGATTTTTGTTTTGCTGATACGTATGCTAGGATACAAAGACAGCATCATAATACTTCCTTTAAAAAGCTCAAAGTACTTCATTCCTCTTGTGCAACTTCCTCTAAGCTTTTTTTTTCCTTTTTTTTTTTTTTGAGTGGATTAGTCACTCTTCAGATGTGGAATGCAAACACCCTTAGATGGAATTACTGTCTGAAGAACACAATAAAACAAAGATTTGCTTTGTGTTATTATATATCTGCCTTTCCTCTTCACCTCCCTTCCTTGGAGAAGAATAATGCTGTTTGATTCTATGAGTTTGTCAAGATGTAATTTGGGGAAGCAGTGTGTTGGTGAAGGGAACAAGCGAAAGAGAACTTTACTAATACTTTAAAGTGCTGCAAGTGAAACTCAAATGAGCAGGAAAAGCTTGATGAAAGCCTAAACTTGAGCAAAACAGGTTTGTTTTATTGCCTCAGTGCTGGCAGTTCTGCTGTTAGAATGTGCCAGTCTGGTATGTTTGTGGTACGTACTGGTGCGGTGATTTCCACGTCATTCTACCTAAAGATCTCTGTGGCAACCTCAGCAACTTAGAGGCACTTTCTTTGGGCGTGCCCTTTAGGAAGCTGTATGAGCAAGAGTAGGAAACTTCAGAAATTGGGGTCTGAGGAGGGGGAAAAGGAATCCAACCCAGCTCTCACTGTGTGGAGATACACTTTGTCTTGGCGGCTTCTGCTTTCTGCATCGGGGAATAATTAGCAGCTTGACAAGAACTGCTTTTCACAACCAAGCTTTTGAGCATTATCAGATATATTTTAGGATTCGGTAACAGAAGTGAGGATCATACTTAATTTCATGGCAGGAACTGTGAATTCCAGCATGTGTCTGTCAGTGCTTTTACTGTGTCTCCTCCTTCCTAGCTGTGGCGTAATGACCGGAGCCTGTCAGTGCTGCTGCTGGTGGGGAGCCAGAGAAGGGCGCACGGGGAAACCTTGCTTAACAAATTTGTGGTGGATATGGCTGTCATTTCTGATTGCAATGAGATTGGTAATTCCTTATTGCCATTTCTGATGGCAGTGTTAGTGCAATTTCCATAAAGAGCAGTTAGAACCTTAGGGGGAAAGGGAAGGTTAAAGTGATAAAGGCTTGGAAAGACTTTGGGCGGCGTTTTTGGATAATCATCACTTACAGTATATATCATTTGTGCTTCTGAGACTATTCTAGAATAATCTTACTGGTCTGAATAGAAAATAAGAATTCCAGCTCAAACCTGACAGTGGCTCCCTTAATGCTGGCATGGAAACAAGACAAGTATGTGCAACTTTAGCTTTTACTAGTTCTTCTTTTTTCCCCTCACCACTTGCCCTGATGAAGCATTTTTAAAAACAATCATGACTCTGTGCAGTCCTCATTCTGATGAATAAGTCAAGCTTTTCAATTTTGTCTTTGGAAATGAACTCCTCATTCCTCCTGAGCATTTTTATAACCTTTTATTGAATATTTGATTTGTTTTTGTTAAATACTACATACTTTGTATACATTTACTACCAGTATTTTTTTTTTCTTGACAATTTCACATTTGAATTTTTGCTTTTTTGCAGCATTCTGGCAGGGAAGCTTTTTGCTTCCACTTAACTTGTGGTAACCAGCCTCTAGGTATATCCACTCTAGTTCACTGTCCTGCCTTTTTCTGAAGATTCAGCATTCCCCTCCTTCATAAAAAGAGCAAAAAAACTTGCTTGTTTCAGACCAGATCTGGGCTATATTAGTTGCTATTTTGTCCTTGCTGCATAGCGAGCCATTCTTTTGCCTGTTTTGCCAAATAGCTTTGTTTTGGATTTCTCGCTTTTATCCCTGAGCTGTTTGATGTCTGAGGCTTAACTTTTTTTCTTCTGACCTGTTCTTGTCTCCATTCACACCCTCATCATATTCAGCCTTATTAAGAAATCTCTTTCAAGGTTGCTGTTTGTCTGATTATATCTGGAAACTTTGTCTCAGACCTGTGATATATAATACTAATCCCCAGCCTTGCGGAAATTGTTGTGTTGCTTTGTGTGTTTTGTTGTTCTCGCTTTTATCCCTGAGCTGTTTGATGTCTGAGGCTTAACTTTTTTTCTTCTGACCTGTTCTTGTCTCCATTCACACCCTCATCATATTCAGCCTTATTAAGAAATCTCTTTCAAGGTTGCTGTTTGTCTGATTATATCTGGAAACTTTGTCTCAGACCTGTGATATATAATACTAATCCCCAGCCTTGCGGAAATTGTTGTGTTGCTTTGTGTGTTTTGTTGGGTTTTTTTTGTTGACACTTTATAAATAGTTTCCTTACTTCCTCAATGCTTGCTCTCTTGAAATTGGAAAACAGCCTGCCTTTTCACTTATCTTTAATATAAATTGAGAACTTAATCCAGGAGCATGAGCTACCAAACAGAGTTGAAGCTTTCTAATTTCAGTGACTTCTTTTGTGAAGAAATCTGTCACCTCCAGCAATAGCTGGACGCTGTCCTGTCTGTATCCAGGAAGGTAGTTTGTGGGGATGATTATAATGGTAATGTTTTCAGGAACTCTTCTTCTTTCCTTTCTTAAAGCTTTGCGTTATTTACCCACATATTACAAGGTTTAGATGCATCTTTTAGGAGTTTTCTAAGACTAGTTCCTGTCCTGTCTGTATCTGGGAAGGTAGTTTGTGGGGATGATTGTAATGGTAATGTTTTCAGGAACTCTTCTTTTTCCTTTCTTAAAGCTTCGCATTATTTACCCACATATTACAAGGTTTAGCTGCATCTTTTAGGAGTTTTCTAAGACTAGTTTTGGTTTAGGAGTAATTAGATTTGTGGTTATTATCTAAGCAAGGTTAGATTTCTCCCCCCTGCCTTTCTAGAAACAGGCATTGCACATCTCTCTAAATCATTACGTAGGTGTAGCTGAGAGTAGTAATACAGCTCAAAGACATGCTATGTTTTTGGGTTTTACTAAAGTCTTTGTAGATATAATATGTGTTCTTGCCATTCAGTGCTTCCATAGCTGTTGAAATTGCAGTTTCTCCTTTGTTGGGTATGCAAGACCTTCACTGGTGGTGGTGGGAACTGGATGAATGCTTGTTGGCGTTGATCTGCCATGCAGTCATGGGGAATGAAGACATTGCCTGCTTGAACGTTATCTGCAGGACTTGATATTAGTCTAAGATACCTAGTTCAGGAGGACACTACTGAAGTCTTTGCAGCTGAAGCTTTTGCTGTTGAAGTCTAGGGTGAAGGTGTGTGGCTGGGTTTGTGCTCACACTTGTTTAGTAGTATAAGGGAAAGCTAGTTTTCTAAGAAGAGTCTCATCAGCATCCTACTGGGTGCTTCTATCACAGATTCTTCTATCTGTGTTCCCCAGGGAACCTGCTTGAACGTTATCTGCAGGACTTGATTGCTGTCTAAGATACCTAGTTCAGGAGGACACTACTGAAGTCTTTGCAGCTGAAGCTTTTGCTGTTGAAGTCTAGGGTGAAGGTGTGTGGCTGGGTTTGTGCTCACACTTGTTTAGTAGTATAAGGGAAAGCTAGTTTTCTAAGAAGAGTCTCATCAGCATCCTACTGGGTGCTTCTATCACAGATTCTTCTATCTGTGTTCCCCAGGGAAGACCAAGAGTACCTTATTTGAGCAGTTAACGTAGCACAAATGTAAATCTTGGGCTAAGGAACTGATGGTGGTGGCTGCTGCTTCTGCTGAGGGAGTTAAAAGGAGAGAGATAAGCTGCTCTTGTAGGACAGAAGGGAGACTGGGGCATTGGTCCAGTTTTCTGCATGGGGTATTAACAGCCTTCTGCGCTCATTTCCTTGCTGTGCCCATCCTCTCCCCTGAAGGAATGGCCAGGCTCCTTCTGGAAGTACCAGAAGGTGGAGAAGGGATGTGAACTAGTTGCATGAGGGACAGGAGAAGCCTGCTGAATACTCAGCTGTCAATCAGATTTACGAAGCCAGGGACTGACAGTCCATCTAGTTACTGGAGTCCTCTGCAGCAGTGGGGTTTGACTGGCCAGAGGTGTGCCACAGGCTCCAGTGACACCTCCCTCAATCCCAGTGCTGTGTATTATGTCACCAGTGCTGTATTTCGGCCACTGCCCCATTTTTTCCCCTCTGAACAATTGAGTCCAAGTCCCCAACCATCTGCCAGGATTCGGGCTATGATATGTATTCTAGGTGTTGCAAGGAACAGTTTTCTTTATGTCTTTATGCCTTCCATATGTGCTTTCTCTTTAGGTCTTGGTGAAGGCAGTCTTCAGTGCTTAAATGCTTTACTTCCTTAATAGCTGCCTTCCATATGTGCTTTCTCTTTAGGTTTTGGTGAAGGCAGCCTTCAGTGCTTAAATGCTTTACTTCCTTAATATTAGCCTTTACTATGGATTATCAAGTTGTTAACAAATTTTAAAAAAAATTTTATAGACTACTGCCTGATGGCCCGGTGTTCTTGTTGGATATGAACTGATTTATGAGACTCCATTAAATCAGATTTGGTGTTAATTTTTGCTTATATGGTGTTTAAAAAAAATAAATATTAGCCTTTACTATGGATTATCAAGTTGTTAACAAATTTTAAAAAAATTTTATAGACTACTGCCTGATGGCTCGCTGTTCTTGTTGGATATGAACTAATTAATGAAACCCCATTAAATCAGATTTGGTATTAGTTTTTGCTTATATGGTGTTTAAAAAAAATAATCTATAGAATACTAGACTCTTCTAATTGTTCTTTTAATCACTTGTGTGGACATCTATGTGACTTAGCTGTAAGATATATATAGAGATGTGTAAATGTACTTGTTGAGAGATATATACCAGACTCTTCTAATTGTTCTTTTAATTGTTTGTGTGGATGTCTAAGCAACTTAGCTGTAAAATGTATATATATCACAGAATCACAGAATCTTCTAGGTTGGAAGGGACCTTAAAGATCATCTTGTCCAACCATCAACCTGACTGACAAAAATAGTCACCCACACATATATTTAGATAGAGATGTATATATCTCTCAACAAGTACATTTACACAATACATTTAACAACCTGCCCTTGTTTTCACCCCAGGATTAAGCCTGGGAGGTTTATTAAACTTTGCTGGTGGCAATAACTTTATCTGTGTTACTACAGGTTTACAAGGTGTTGGTCTCCGTTGGCAGAAATGAGTGGTTTGTCTTCAGACGTTACGCGGAGTTTGATAAACTCTACAATACGGTAAGGAAGTATATTTAGATAGAGATGTATATATCTCTCAACAAGTACATTTACACATTAATACATTTAACAACCTGCCCTTATTTTCACCCCAGGATTAAGCCTGGGAGGTTTTATTAAACTTTGCTGGTGGCAATAACTTTATCTGTGTTACTACAGGTTTACAAGGTGTTGGTCTCCGTTGGATACATTTAACAACCTGCCCTTGTTTTCACCCCAGGATTAAGCCTGGGAGGTTTTATTAAACTTTGCTGGTGGCAATAACTTTATCTGTGTTACTACAGGTTTACAAGGTGTTGGTCTCCGTTGGCAGAAATGAGTGGTTTGTCTTCAGACGTTACGCAGAGTTTGATAAACTCTACAATACGGTAAGGAAAAGGCAAGCTGTGAAGTCATGATGCCCAAACAGCACAGAGTAACACTTGTTTGCAACGTTATGGTTTGAGTTAATTCCCTCTGGAGGAGTTTGGGTCAACATGAAATAACCGTAGGAGTCTGTTTAACAAAAATGGCAGGGTGGGTTTTTTAAACTTTGGTTTGTTTGAATTTCAAACTCAAAATCGACTTATTTGTTATTTTTTTCATTGTTGCTTGGGATCACAATGTAATGAGAGAAACTTCCAATGTACTGGTTGTCAAAACACCTGAAATGAAGTAGTAAAAACCACTGCAAAACTTAAAACATCAAGATAGATAAATTTCCCTTAAAATAAGTAGTGTTTGACTTTGAAGCACTGAAAGCAATGAACAAATCCTTGTTTCTTCAGAGAAACTTTCTGATAAGTCAGTCATGGCAATTCCTACCTGCAGTTTCATAGCCAAATTTTGTGGTAGTGGTCCAAATAAAATAGGCCTCTTCAGCAGCTGAGTATGGATTTCTGGGATCTGTTGCTAAAAGAGGATTTTGCCAGAAAGGACATGTGCTGCTAACTGGGAGAGATATTGATGTTTCTGAGGAAAGGAGAATTGCCAGTATTAGAAAATTATTCTCTTAAAGAGGGTGAGATTAAGATTGCTCTTCTGGAGTGCTTGAAGAAGCAAATGTAATCAAGGCTTGGCTCATGTCAGGTTTTTTTGATAAATTCAGTGCTGCTGTATACAATTTTCTCATCACTTTATCAAGTGTAGAAGATAGTCAAATTGTCAAATACAGCATTGTGAAATAGGCTATTCATTTGTTTAGGATTTTGACTTAGTGGGAGGTCACCTGTGGTTTCTAAAGCTTTAGGAATGTTGTTTTGGCAAAACCCAGGGACCCCAGCCCATCTTAACCTCATGCATTCACCCCTTATGCAAGCTGGCCAAAAAAAAAAACCAAAACAAACAAAAAAAACCAAACCTGAGGGAGGAAGTAAAGAGGAGAATAAAGCCAACATTGAAATTCTAGCCTATGTTTTTTTAATCTGGGGCAAGTGAAAACTCATTTTGGCAATATTGCAGAAGATTACTTTCTCAAGTGAGATGGCCTTTGAATTTAAAAGGGTATGACTGGTGCAAACAAGCTCAGTACAGATTGTTTTGGGTTTGTTTTCCTTCCCCAAGCGTACAAGTAGGGAAGATGGCAGAGAGGAGCACAATTACTAATAATCAGATGTTCAGCCTGTTCATCAGAAAATAAACAAAATACAATTATTTCTAGGTACTTTGATGTCTAAGCACAATCCAATTGTATGTGTTTTCTTTTCAGCTAAAGAAGCAATTTCCCACCATGAGCCTGAAGATTCCAGCTAAAAGAATATTCGGAGATAATTTCGATCCCGGTAAGTTGTTATCTTGTTACTCATTTTTTTTGTCAGTTTCTTTATATGAAAATTGGTCTATTTCAGCCTACAAGAAGCTATCTTATGAGTTTTCCACCAGTCCTCAAAACAGTGACTAAACCGAAGTTTAGTCATGCTTCAGTCAAGAAGAGGAACCAGCGTAGGTAGCTCTTCTACCTTGTGATGGTGAGCAAAGCTCTGCTTAGTGGCCCAGCGCTTCTCTCGCGCCGAAGGCAGGAGCTCCTCCCAACCCTCCCCTCTTCAGGATTCTGAAGAGATTCTGAACTGTCAGGTGTAACCTCTCTTCTAGAAAAGCAAAAATCAAAACCCAGAACTCTTCTAAACACGTCCCTAGTCAATTTTAAACTTCCCTTATGTGACTTTTTCCCCACCCTCTCTGAAAAATAACTAAAAGATTTCTTTTTGAACAGGTGTAACCTCTCTTCTAGAAAAGCAAAAGTCAAAGCTCAGACTCTTCTAAACGTATCCGTAGTCAATTTTAAACTTCTCTGACTTTTTCCCCACCCTCTCTGAAAAATAACTAAAAGATTTCTTTTTGAAGGCTTTCGAACTCTCTGTATCTCAATGTGGTTCCTTGTGCAGTTCAGATGAAAATGCACCTCTGTTGCTGTTCCACTTCCAGAAGCCTGTTTGATGTGATCCCATTAGCAGTGATAGGTGCCAATTAGAATCATAGAATTGCCCAGGCCCGAAGGGACCTCCAAAGGTCATCTAGTCCGACCCCCCCGCAGTCAGCAGGGACACCCCCAACCAGACCAGGTTGCCCAGGGCCTCGTCGAGCCTCACCTTGAATATCTCCAGGGAAGGGGCCTCAACCACCTCCCTGGGCAACCTGTTCCAGTGCTCCACCACCCTCACAGTGAAGAACCCTCTCCTCATCTCCAGTCTAAATCTGTTCCCCTCCATGCTCTGTCAAAATACTAATGAAAAATCACTTGTGTATTGAATTAGCCTAGCTGATCAGTTCGTTCACTAATGAATAAATAAAAGGGCAAGAGGGAAGGCAAGGCCTTTGCTCTGGGTGTTTACACCCTTCATCAGGCCATTTTTACTTCAGGCTTTTCCTGGTGGTCGTTGGGAACCTCCCACCCTCCTTTGGTTTGCTGGTGTGATCAAACTGTTTGCAGTTTCACCTCCTCCTGCACCTCTTTCAGGCATTTCATTTTCTCCTTGGCCAAAGAATAAATGGATCCAAAGGTGTTCAACTCTTGGGATGTGTTGGGTTTGGGTGGTTTTTTTTTCAAGTTCTTTCAAACAAATTAATTTTGACAGTTACAGTTAATCATCTGTGAAAAATCACTTGCAAAGTGTATTGCATTAGCCTAGCTGGTCAGTTCATTCACTGATGAATAAATAAAAGGGCAAGAGGGAAGGCAATGAAAAATCACTTGTGTATTGAATTAGCCTAGCTGATCAGTTCGTTCACTAATGAATAAATAAAAGGGCAAGAGGGAAGGCAAGGCCTTTGCTCTGGGTGTTTACACCCTTCATCAGGCCATTTGTACTTCAGGCTTTTCCTGGTGGTCGTTGGGAACCTCCCACCCTCCTTTGGTTTGCTGGTGTGATCAAACTGTTTGCAGTTTCACCTCCTCCTGAACCCCTTTCAGGCATTTCACTTTCTCCTTTGCCAAAGAATAAATGGATCCAAAGGTGTTAAACTCTTGGGATGTGTTGGGTTTGGGTTGGTTTTTAAGTTCTTTCAAACAAATTAATTTTGACAGTTGCAGTTAATCATCTTGATCCTGATGTGAAACTCCCTTTTATTTTTTTATTAAAATAATGAAATGTGAGTATCCAAGCTCCGACGTTCCCTTCTGATGAAAGTGTAGGTGATTTCCAAAAGTGCTACGTGTACTGTGTCTCTAGGGATTTCTTGTTTTATTTTGGTTTCTTTACAGTTAATCATCTTGATCCAGAAGTGAAACTCCCTTTTTTTTAATGAAATGTGAGCTCTGATGTTCCCTTCTGAGGAGGATGTAGGTGATAGAACTTTTGGCAATGTGTACTGTCTCTTTAGGGATTTCTTGTTTTATTTTGGTTTCTTTCCTTTTCTTTCCTTTTCTCTGACCTTGGAGGTTTTCAGAGCTGACTGAAGACCTAGTAATGTCATGCAGTCTGGTCTGCTGTACAGCCAAAGGTGCAGGTGGATTTCTTGGAATCATATTTTGGGAAACTGAGTTTAAACAGGGTGAACAAAAAAAAACCCAACTTAAAACTTTATTAAAATTATATACGTAAAACAAAGTCCTCAGACTTGTTTTCAATTTCTGTGAGCTAATGCTGAAATCCTTGAAGCATGAGAAACGAAATAGTTCTCAAGATGTTTCTTGCTGGGAGGCAAGGTGGAGATGGAGCCATGATGTTCATTTACATAATTCTTTATCTTAACACTGATTTATTGAAGCTTTGATGTAACGTTTCTACTGGTTTCTGAAATAAGTTGCATATTTTACAAATGCTGAAAAGGTATTTTACTTCTGTCAATCCCTGCTTGGGTATGGAGCGTTGTGCTATTACATTGGAGTGCAGTAGCTTGGAACTTGGTGACTCCTGTTAACTTCCTTATGCAAATTTACCTGCCTGATTGATGTCAGTAATTTGGGATATAATCCCTAAACCCCTGTTGGTGTATTTAATAATCTCTGAAACAATGTGATCATTTTTCTGAATTTTCTTAATACTTAAAATACAGCTTTAAATTGAAATTTAACTTTAATTTTAAATTTTAATAGTTGTCAGTAATCTATGTGGGATAGATTAATTGGAATACCTTAAAAGATAATACAAAAGTTAAATATTCTTCTTCTGTACAAATCCACCTGGCGTTCTGCATTTTCAAGTAGTGTTGCAGAGGAACTGAAATTTGTTCTCTCACCTCACTTAAAACATTGAAGTTTCTGATTTTTTTTTTTTATATGTAGAATCCTGTTCTGAGCCAGTTACAAACCAATCTCTTTTTAATTGCTATTTAAGTCCTAAAAACCCTAAATTTGAAAACAAGTCTTGTTTGGGAGCTGACTGATCATTCTAATAAATCTATCTCTTTTTTTTTTCCCTCAGATTTTATTAAACAGAGAAGAGCGGGGCTGAATGAATTCATTCAAAATTTAGTTAGACAGCCAGAGCTATGCAACCAGTAAGTAGTTTCTTTTCTGTTTTATAAAGACTATTTAAAAGACACAAGATGTCAAATATAAAATTGCAAATTAAGTACTTTTAACCAGAAAATGTATTTTACTGTGCTCTTAAGAATAATAAATAAATTTTAATATGGCGGCTCGTTCCTTCAGGAAAAATCTGCAGACTTATGAACAGTATAAAAAAAAATATTTTTGTTTTATGAAAACTGATCTATAAATAAACTTTCAGGCAATTAACTGCTCTTAATTCAGGGGGTGCAGATTCCAGTGTAAGCTCTGCTGCTGTACTGTTTGAGAACTCTGCTGTTAATTGCGCTGCTGGGAGTAAGTCACTGCCTGCATCCTCTTGTTAGAGCAGTTCGTGTGTGTGCTCCAGGACTTGTTTTAAGTAAGTTTAAGTACTTGTTTAACCGAGTAGCTTAATCAGCTTGCTTAGGTGGTTTGGGAGATACCCATTTGCTATAGCCAGCTCAGCCTGGTTAAGTTTGTGCATAATCTGTTCCATCAGAGCTGCAGGTGCATTAACCTCGGTCAGTGGGACAGCGATGGGTGAGAGATGGTGATACACTGGAGTCAGCTCCAGTTAAATCTAGGGAATGGTGCTTCTGTGTGTGAACTGATTTTTCTGGGGGTAAACTGCATTTTTCTTTTAGTTTAAATCTCTGCCTAACCAGTTTAAACAGCTTTCTGTGTTGCTTCAACTAGTAAAATGGTAAAGCTTTATGTTTGGCTTCAGTGTTAAGTAAATGTATTTAATACATGTGCTTTGTTTAACAAGCCTGTCTGTACAATGTGTGAAGCTGCCCATTTTCCACAGGAAAGAAAACAGAAACCTCTAACAGAATATTGCTGTAGTTTGCAGTTAGAGGATTTTTATTTTTTTCCAACGAATGAACTATTTCATGTCCTATTAACCTGAAATATGTGCTTCCTTTCTTTTTGGGTTGGTTTTTTTTTTTTTTGGAAAAAAGGAGCATTTTATGTATACAATCCCCTGTGATAAGTGGAAAAAAATTCAGAACAAAATCTTTATGGTGTAATAGTCTTCTGCTAGAATAAATGCTGTGAGGTTTGTGGCTGTAGTAGTGTTCTTTGGGAAAGAATAGAAAGCACTTTGAAATAACTAACTCTTGAAAGCTAATCTGTTATGTTACGTTAGGAAAGGAGACTGGTTTTATTTAGCACGATCCCCTCCCATGTTTGGTTGTCAGTATGTCCAAGTGCCAAATGTTTTGTCTCAAAACATGCTGTATCTGTTCTCCAAAGGTAAAATGGTACTTTTTTGTGATATGCTTAAAATAAGAAATTGTGTGCTGAAAAAAACACAAAACACCATCAAACCTCAAATTCACTTGTGTCCTTAATTTTTTTGTGAGCTTTTAAAATTGTTTTAAGCTCAAATGCATCTGTAGCTGAGCCGGTGTCCTTTAACAAGGCCCTTAGCCTGTCTGATCCATTAAAACTAACTTAAACTAAGAAATAGGTCTTATGAAGTGTTGTGTTGCTGTTGAAAGTGTCTTAAATAAAAAGCTTATTAGGCGTAGTTCTACAATAAAAACAAAATAGGGACAGACGTTTGTCTTGTGCTGTTCTCCTCCCCACCCTGAAAGTAGCAGTGATTTATATGGGAGGAAAAGCAAGCCTTTAATTCACAAGTCATTGCAAAAGCATGTAATTTTATAGTCAGTTCTGTGGTTCATCTTTTTTTTTAATGACTGCAGGGTGATTTGTTTTTCTGGAGTGAGCTTTTTACTTTTTGCAGTGCTCCATTGCAGCAAATCATATTAATAATTACATAATGTCACCTTATGAGCCTATGGATGTTATTAGTGAAGAAATACCAGAACTTTATGATCTTTATGGGGTTTTTTTGGTTTGGGTTTTTTTTTAAATCTGCTAGGAACTACACAAGGAATATGTGGTGGCTGACTCTTCACACATAGTCCATATCCTTGCTTTATTAGACTGTTTTTCTTTAATGTGCTAATTAAATTTTATATTAGGTAAATAACTTATGTAAAGTTAGTAATGTACAAGGAAGACTTAGGAGGTTATGAATTCTCACAGAACTTTAAGGAAGTCCACCTTTCACTACATCTTAGAATCACAGAATTGCCTGGGTTGGAAGGGACCTTTCAGATCATTGAGTCCAACCATCAACCTGACACTGACAAAAACCATCACTAAACCATGTCCCTCAGCACCATGTCTACCTGCCTTTTAAATTCCTCCAGGGATGGTGACTCCACCTCTGCCCTGGGCAGCCCATTCCAAGGCTTGACAACCCTTTCAGTGTAAAAATTGTTCCTGATATCCAATCTGAACCTCCCCTGGTGCAACTTGAAGCCATTTCCCCTTGTCCCATGGCCTGTTCCTTGGGAGAAGAGACCGACCCCCCCTGGCTACACCCTCCTTTCAGGGAGTTGGAGAGAGCGAGAAGGTCTCCCCTCAGCCTCCTTTTCTCCAGGCTGAACACCCCCAGCTCACTCAGCTGCTCCTCACAAGACTTGTGCTCCAGACCCCTCACCAGCTCCGTTGCCCTTCTCTGGACCTGCTCCAGCCCCTCAATGTTCTTCTTGTCGTGCGGGGCCCAAAACTGGACACAGCACTCGAGGTGGGGCCTCACCAGTGTCCAGTATAAATGTCGATCGTTGCCCTAGTTCTCCTGGCCACGTTGGTGATACAGGCCAGGATGCTGTTGGCCTTCTGAGCCACCTAGGCACACTGCTGGCTCATGTTCAGGTGGCAGTCCACCAGCACCCCCATTAAAACCAGTATCAGGATGGTATATTTTTAAGTCCTACCTAGGAAAACTGTTTCACTAAAAGCTTAAGGATGGTTTGTGATGATGTCCTCGTTTCTGGATGGGAAGGCACCTGAACACCTGATTTGAAACCTGTTCCCTGGAAGAGGTTGCCCAGAGAAGCTGTGGCTGCCCCATCCCTGGAGGGGTTCAAGGCCAGGCTGGATGGGGCTTGGAGCAACCTGGTCTGGTGGGAGGTGTCCCTGCCCAGGGCCAGGGGGTTGGAACTTGATGGTCTTTAAGGTCTCTTCCAACTCTAACCCAACTCTAACCATTCTATGGTTCTGTGATTCTAATATTTCCATGATTTTCTGAAACCTGCAGTGCTGTGGTGTTCTTTTTTCTTTTCTCCTTCAGTGAACTTTGTTCTTGGATCTAACATGTTTGTTGAAAATTGTATCAAAGCCAAACCTTTCCCCTCAATAATAAACCCAATGAAAACCTGAAGGGTGTTAGAGTGATTAGAGAGACCCTGCAATGGTTGGTAAGGATTTTCCTGCAGTCACTGTCAGGTGGGAATTAGGTGGACTAGCTTCAAGCTGCATTTACTCACCCAACTGTATTTGATAGAGAACTTGGTCTCCTGGATGGGTTGCAGGTGTTGCAAAAAAATGGTCAGAAGGGATAGAGATGTGGTAATGCCTCCCCCTTGCTGTCTGATGTCTTGAACAGGAGCTGGGTGTTTGTTACTTGTGAGGCCCACCAAATCACTGAGCAACTATTCAAATTGGGCTCCTTGCCCCCTCGGGCCCCCTTAATCACTGAGCAACAACTATTCAAATTGGGCTCCTTGCCCCCTCAAATGTAGGTCTTCACTGAAAAATGAATGCATTTAATTGTCTATCAGAACAGAAAATCTGTTTGAATCCAAATGTATAATAGAGGATGCATTAAAGATGTAACGTAGTTATTTTTAAATAGTCCAAAGTAGCTCCTTAATGAAAATGAGAACATTTGCATAACACTTGAAGAACTCAAGGATGACAATACCCTGAAATCTCTGTAGGGAAATGAGTTATCAGCTCTTTAAGTGAGAAGTGGGGGTCTGCATTTGTTCCCTAGAAGAAAATCAGAGTGACTAAATTTTTCTGGTTTCTAATCTAATGAATAGAAAAAAGAAACCCCGGGATTGTAGGATTTTGCAGTCTGTGTTGGGGAAAGCAAGCCTTGCACTACATTAGTTGTGCTTTTTTAAAATGTTAGTGTACATCATGGCTTTTGACCCTTTGCTTTCTGTAAGAAAAGGGTCTGTAAGACCCTTCCTGTTTCTGTAAGAAAGCAATCAGTGGTTTACATGTTTTTCCTTTTTTTTCTTTTTAAAAGTGTGTGGAGATGAGGGAGGAGCTGGACACCATTATTTAAATAAAGTGTGTCTTTATTAAAGTTCTGTCGCTGGCAGTTAATTTTACCATTTTGCTTCAAAATTTGTGACTTTTTGGGTTTATTCATATTTCTGGGTGTGTCAGGAACTTTTGTGTGGCCTCATATGTTTCTCCAGGAAGGCTCGTGCAAAATGTGTGTCACAAAAGGAACAGTATCTGGGAAGAGCTTGATACTCCTTTGTGGATTTTGGGGATGATCCATAAACTCCATTTGTCCAGTCAATCATGAAAACCCAGACAAAACCAGTATTTACTGGTACATTGGCCTGGTGTGGGGTGGAGCAGGGCCAACTTTCTGTTCCACCCCAAACAGTTGTACAATGTGTGTTGAGGATCCCTTTTTAAGCTGTTTTCTTCGTCCTTTTAATTTCATATACGAAGCTATTTTAGGAATGGTTTCAGTCTGTTTTAAAATCCATTGAGCTAATACATGTGAACTGATACAGATTGGTAGGGCTCATATGCTGTAGAGTGTTTTGCATAACATGCTGCAATCTCAGCTAAGAAATTGGTCCATGAAAATTGTTATTTTTAATTGCTGCTTCTTTGCAGTGCTTTTAAAATTACAAATGTGAAGGATGTGACACTGCTCAGTTGTGCTTCTGGCTGCCATGTGTTGCAGAGACTCTTGAATGCCCTGCAAGTGTACAGCAGCCTTTTACTGGGAACAGATTTTATTATTATTATTACTATTATTATTATTATTATTATTATTATTATTTTCCTGCTGTCAATTAAGTCTGGACAAAGTTCCTATAGTAACTGTTTGAGATGTATTACAACATGCTCTATTTAATCAGCCAGTTGTCCAGAATCATTAATGCTGGAAGGTAATTAAGGTCTGGTTCTGTTGTTCTGTCTAGTGACAAACATTAACTGTAACTTTTCATTCTTGATTTTTATGATATCTAAATATTCTGAAACTTAAATTGTTGCATCATGAGCCAATATTACGACAATATTCAAACCACAGAGATTTTTGTCTTCCTGGGACTCGACATACCAGATAGATAGTCCCTCAAGTAGGTCAGAATTTGGACTTCATATCAGAAGGGGAGAATTAAACTGAAATGATGGTGGGAAGTTGTCTGAATGGTCTTGTTGCTGTACATTAAATCTGAAAGGCTGAAGGTGACTGCAGCAGATTTCAGAGAGGGTTTAGGAAGGCAGAACATAAGCTATGGAGTCTGGGAGCCTCGGATAGTGTAGGACATGAGTTAGGTTTGGTAATAAAATACAGGAGCTGGAGACATGTCAGAAATGGCTCATCTCATACTTCTGATCCTCACTTGACAGGAGCGTGGAGAGTGAAATGGCTTGAAAATAGCAAAGCAAGTCTTTCTGCTTCTTATGTAAAACTACCCTGTCTTATATATACTAGGGATAAGTTAAAAGAGCAGCTCCGTAGCAAATGAGTGCTTTTCTGGGAGTGAGTTTCCCATCAGTGGCTGCCCTGACACCTTCTGAAAAAAGGCAATTTCCTGGTGCTTTCTAGCAAGTTAGAGCTCGTGCTTTGGGTAGTGTTATTTCTTCTAATAATTACCTTTTAATACAGTTCTGCAGGGCATTTCCTTATGAAGTCTTTGCATACGTGTACTTTACTATGTCAGGTTTTTTGCAAGTAGAAAATTTTATGTACTGTATGGAACAGATTCAGCAGTTGAATTATGTTGCTACAAAAGCATTTCTTGTACACAGTCCTTAATTACTAAAACTTAAATATAAAACTGCTGTTTAATCCTACGCTTCCTATGGTTATGGCTGAAAATCGTGCAGGTAATGGGTGTGCTAATGAAGTCAACTGTGTTTCTAGCCCAGATGTCAGAGCATTTCTTCAGATGGATAACCCAAAACACCAGTCGGATCCATCTGAAGATGAAGATGAAAGGAGCAGTCGAAAGGTAATAAAACCCAAGTAGAACAGTCTTCTACATGTTAGCTACTTGATGGCAATCTTACATATATTATTTACTGAAAATTACTGGTTGGTTTAGCAACAAATCCCCTCCATACTCTTTTAAATGTGTTCCACTGTGGGCTGCAAGGTGTTTCTCTGCCACATGTGAACTGCAGAGAGGGGCGAAAGCGATGGCTGGCTTTGTCTTGCTACAGGAGTTAAAGAAACACAGCTTCAATCAAGTTTAGTAGTTTTTTTCAATCAAGTTTTTGCAGTCTCTTCAAAGATTCTTACTAAGAACATTTGGCAAGGAGCAGGGGAATATTTAATTGTCTTTTTATTTGCTTGTGTGTTGTTGTGTTTTGTTTTTTTTTTAAATAGGGGGAGAAATAGAATTCTCTCGGGGAAAAAAATGTGGTCTTTCTAAAAGTCGCTCAGGACCAAGGATGGATTTGATTTAATTTCACATATAACACTGTGTGAGGTCTGAAACCTCTTTTGTCACAAAAGCCACTATGCAGCTAGATGGGTTCTCTGAAAATTAATTTACAGCCTCCAGAAACAGTGCTGTTTGAAGAAAAAAAAAAAAAGAGTATTTCTAGGAAGGCAGAAGTGCCATATTTCAGCTTGTTTTCTCTATGGCTTACTTCCTGGCATACAGATGTGATCTTAGTACTTCTCTTCTTATTCAACCCCTGTTAATGTAAGAGTTGTCATTTTGGTTTGTGTGTGATCCACAGCAGATTTAGTGTTTCCTCAAAGTTTCACTTCCAAAGATGCCAGTCTTTGCTGCTTTGTTTATTTTTTTTTGAGGTGCTTGACAACACTGTGAGCACGCAGCAAAATTCTAATTTAAAACACTAGTTTTTCCTCCGCAATTGAAAGGTATTTTTAGGTAATGTGGAATAATCTAAACCTTCTGTATAAAATTAATGATGGCACAACAAATTCCAAAATAGGAAGTGAGCTAATGCGTAGTGGCTGTACTTTTTGACAGTAAATTCACCTTCCCATAGTTACTGTAAGTGATGAAGCAGAAGAGTAAGGAACAAAAATAAGCTCTCAAGAAAAGAAAAATCTTGAAATTTATATAGTAGCTTTTCTAAAAAAACTATCCAGTACCATTGTGTGATTGGTACCATTAGTGAATAGTGGCATCAGCGCTGGTTTTGGGATGCCTGCTGGCCTGTCCCCAGGTAACTGGTATTTGGATGCAGTTTATCCTTCTCTCATAATGTCCAAAACCACAATGAGTGTACAAATACTGCCTACCAGAGAAAATCACTTAAATGACAGTGACTTCCTCCTCTCCCTCCCTGTAATTTACAAATTCTGTCAGGGTGTGTACTGGTGAGATTCATGGAATTCCTAGAACTGAGTGAGTTAACCTTTAATGTCAGGATAGAAAAGGTTGGTAATGTTTTTCTTGGTGTGGCAAGAATGTTAACTTTTTTTTTTAAAAAAGCACTGTGTCTTTCATAGTTACTGTTGCTTAAATGGTTTAAAATTATGTTATTGGTAAGATCCTAAAAAAATATTTTATTGGTAAGATCCTGGAAAATAAAAGGTAGAAAATAAATTCCCAGAGCAAATACAGAAAGGGTTAAGCTCTGGATGAGGAACAAGTTGGCTGTTGAAATGCTCTTAAAGTCTTTATTCCTTCTCTTGTCCTCTGTGTCTGGACACAATTATTTTATTACCTTCACCTTTGAATGTGGTATGTGTAGAAATTATTTGTTACAAGGTGATGATGGCCAGGTATTTCAACCTACAAAGATCCCAATCTGGATGTTAGATCTCTTTAGAAAAATCTAATATAACAGGTGTGAAGGTATGGTTTGAGCAAATTTAGTATTTTGAAGTTAATAATACAAGGGAGAATTAAAAAAAAAAATAATTAAAAATAAACCTCTTTGTCTCTCTCAACAGTTAAACTCTACCTCACAGAATATCAACTTGGGACCATCTGGAAATCCTCAGTAGGTTTCAATTAAATTGAATTAAAATGTAATTCAATTGAATGTGAAATTTTTATTTTAAGAAAAATGTATTTAAATTAATTTTAAAACCTGAAAAATTAGGCTGAGTGTAATTGTTAATAGTATGAAGAATTCTTTTGGATACTTGTTGATTTGCACTGCACCAGAGGAAGCAAGACCTTGAACACTCTGCTATATAAACGACTACCTTTAAAACATTTTTCTTTTTTCCTTTTTACCTTCAGATTTTGAGAGTCTGCTAGTCTTTTGCTTAAGGATGCTGTAGGATACTTGAGGATGACCTCTCTGTCTTCGGAGTGGTCGCACAACAGTTAAGAATGTGAACAGTTTATGAACACAAGGTTGTTTTAATGCACAGCAAAGGAGCCTCTTGGCTTGTTGATACCAGAAACCTAATTACTGCTCTCATAACTGGTTTCTCTGTTGTTTTCTGTCGAGTTTCTGGTCTCAGTTCTGTGTGAATCTGTGCTTTTCTCATTTAGGAGATGACTGCTATTTTGGTTTAGCTTTCCTCATGGATTTGTTCTGACCTAACAAGAGGAAATGCTTAATAGATTGCAGTAAGAAATGAAATTTAAGAGTACTTCCCTTCAGGGGCGATAAATGGAGAGGTGTCTGGTGATGTAACTGTTGTTTTGGAATTTGAAAACACGGATAATTGTTTTGCTGACAAAAATATCTCTGCATTGTATTTGGGAAAAAGTGAGGGAATCCTGGGAAATAACTGAAAGGAGTGGTCATATGGGAAGTGGAAAAACTGAGAGTGAGTTCATACCTACACGCACAGAAGAGGAAGGCATTAGGGCCTCCCTCCTCTCGCTGTAATTTAAAATGAGAGAGGAGTGGATGGAGGGAAGAATGGGATAAACAAAGAGAGAACAGATAATGAATTTGGTCCATCCTTCCCTCCTGTAAGCTTGAAAAATAAGCTCCAGGAAAAGTCATGGGGAAATGGAGTCTTGAAAATGGCAAACTAGACTACGAAGAATAAAAGAACAGACTTGCTCCCATTTTACGTCTTAAACTTACAAAATAAAATAAACTCAAAGGATGCAATTTGAACACTTTTTCCCTGGAGGAGAATGGAACTGCAAAATGAAGAATCGTCGTCGTCTCTGAGGGAAAGTCTGCAAAAGTCTAGGTGTTGGGTAGAAGGAAGAATAAAGGAGGGTGCTGACAGACTGTTCTTCTCACATCACACCTCCAGTGCTACACCAGGCTGCTGTACAGCTCTAAAGCTTGTAATCTCTACCCAGGTGACCTGTCTCCTTCCTAAATATCTTTCAGTGCGAAACCAACGGACTTTGATTTCCTGAAAGTTATTGGGAAAGGCAGCTTTGGCAAGGTGAGCTTTCTTATTACCGTGTCTCCTCCTGGTGCAGGGATGCTGGCTGGTGTCTTCTGTGTGATGATGCTTGGCTAGATTTGGTGTGAGTTTTTTGGGAGTGGTGTCAGTCTGGGGTGGCATAGGAACTGTCGGATTGGATCCCTGTTGCTGCTGCTTTATATCCCTGCCATTTTTCCCCTGGTGCATTCGTTGCTGGCTGCCCAGGTCATTTGTTGGGAGTTACAAAAGGGAGTGTTTCCCTTTCTCGTTAAGAGCAATAGGGATCCTCTGTTTCCCCCAGAGAGGAAGGGAGGTACCTGAATACGAATCCTGCGTTTCCCTTTGCTGGTGTGGGCTGGTTTGTCAAACCCCCTAATGCTATGGAACAGTGTGAGCAACAGCCCATTGAAAAGTGACTTAAATATTGATATTCTACCAAAAAAAAATAGTACAAATACTTCCCATTTATGCTGAAGTGATGAAAATGTTACCATTAGAATGTGAATTGCAACAATCGCATTTTTTCATTTCTTTTGGATTTCACAGGTTCTTCTTGCAAAACGAAAACTGGACGGGAAATACTATGCTGTCAAAGTGCTGCAGAAAAAAATCGTCCTTAATAGGAAAGAGGTGAAGAGAAATACTCTTTCTCCACCCACCTCCCTTCCTTTTTCCCTTAATTACAAAGTTGTTACTGTTTACTTATTGATCTTTTGCTTCCTTTACAGCAAAAACATATTATGGCTGAACGTAACGTGCTTTTGAAAAATGTGAAACATCCATTTTTGGTTGGATTACATTACTCATTCCAAACAACAGAAAAGCTTTACTTTGTCCTGGATTTTGTTAATGGAGGAGAGGTATGTGGTGGTTGTATTTGGATTTGAGGCTCTCTCTTTTTCTAATTCTAGGTGGGAGGAATGAAATGATCCTTTACAATGGGTTGTTAGCAGTATTCTCCCAATTTTGAAAATCCTGTTATTATCTGCTGTTATTACAGACATATGGACCTGGCTAGATGGGTCCTGTTCCTCTTATTGACAACTTCAATCCCAAATTTATTCATGGTTGTCAGATACATATACGCATGGGGAGGTTCAGATTGGATATTAGGAACAATTTTTATACTGAAAGGGTTATTAAGCCTTGGAATGGGCTGCCCAGGGAAGTGGTTGAGGCACCATCCCTGGAGGGATTTAAAAGATGGGTAGACATAGAGCTTAGAGATATGGCTTAGTGATGGGTTTTGTTAGTGTTGGGTTGATGGTTGGACTTGATCTGAAAGGTCCCTTCCGACCTCAACAATTCTATGATTCGAAATACTGTACTTTACCGTTGCATCATTTTACCTTTACTACCAATTAATCTTATGTTGATACTTTTCACCATGTAAAACTGTCTTTTCCTCTTGTATCTGCATTAGCTGAGATGGTAGTATTTTGAAAGCTGAAGGAAGAAAACTGGCAAGTGAATTTACTATATTGATATTATTGTGAACCTTGGGATTATTCTGTTGCTTTGCACGGTCTAATTCCTGCCAAACAGCCTTATCCTCAGAATTCTTTCCCTTGAAGTGATGCTATTGAACCTGAAGAGCCATTAAGTAACTTGGGGGAAAACTTGGGAAAGAAATGGAGAAAATCTATATATGTTTAAATAAAACATTGTGGAACAGTTGGTCTTCAACTAGAGACCTGTTGCTTTTCAAAGAACCCACTACTTCTAGGAACGCTCAGGAAAATTAGGTATAAACTGGTTGAACAGTGCACAGGAGAAGGGTATAAAAGGTTGCTTCCCTTCCTTCAAAAGGTTTTGTGGAAAATCAAGAGTCTTTAGGACTAATAATATTAATCCTATGTAGGAAATCAGTTGTGATTAAACAAAAAAGTGTAGAGAAAAATTATTGTATGAACAAAACTATCCAACTCGCGTGCTTTAAAGAAGAGCTTTCTTTGTCACTTGCTGTGTTTTCAATTTGGTAATTTATTGGTGTAAAATGTATACATTTCAGAAGGTCTTACAGGTACTTAAAGCAGAACAGGAAAGAAGGATGAGATAGGATGTTGTTGTAGATGATAAAACTCCGGTAGCTGAAAGAGCACAGGAGGAGGAACTGAGAGATGTTGCCTGTGCAGCAACCAATCTGAAATGTAAACCAAGTTTCATAACAGAGGTGGCAAAGTAGTTTGGTGAAACAATAGTGTGTGGGAAGCATTGGTTCAGTTGGGAAAAGTGCTGTCCTACTTGGTAAATGACCAGATGGTGATGAAGTGTTTGCCAGGTTTGTTGAAGGAGAAGGCAAATACTTAACAGTCTTAAAATTGCTATGAAGCAACCTTTCTTGAAGGGGTTTGCTGTGATGTGACTAAAACACAAGGTTTATTCTTGTTGGCCTAATGCTCTAAAATATTTTTTTATGTATTATTTCAGTATCTTGCACCAGAAGTCATCAAGAAGCAGCCCTATGACAACACAGTAGACTGGTGGTGCCTTGGTGCGGTTCTTTATGAAATGCTTTATGGGCTGGTATGTATTTAATAATGTGGGGGGCAGGGGCTGCTTCCCTCCCCTTTCCCCCTCTTATGTTGAAGTAACCTTGTAGTGCTGTTAAAGATGCTAACTTCTGCAATACTGAAATACTCCATTTAAATGGATGAACAGTTTGTCTCCTACTTAACATAGCACCTCTTTTGGATTTTGTATTGCCTCTTGGTGGCTAAAACTTTGCTTTGCAGTGAAGTGCTGGACATCAGTCATGCTTTGAGGGAATGTGAGAGTGAACTGGATCAACAGTGATAATACCCAATAAAAAACTCAACTTCTGAGTAAAATTATGCCAAATACTGCAATAAATAAAATTAAGATACTTTTTTTTTTTTACTTAGTCTCCCAGGTTTTCTCCTAGCTTTTCCACTTCTTCATGCAGCATTAGAACAAAAAAATCTTACTATACTTCAGAGGGCTGAGAAAGTTGGGGGTGTTCAGCGTGGAGAAGAGGAGGCTCCTGGGAGACCTTAGAGCCTCTTCCAGTCCCTAAAGGGGCTTCAGGAGAGATGGGGAGGGACTCTGGGTCAGGGAGTAGAGACATATAATGAGGGGGAACCATTGTAAACTGAAAGAGGGGAGACTTAGATGAGATCTCAGGAAGAAATTCTTTCCTGTTGAGGGTGGTGACACCCTGGCCCAGGTTGCCCAGAGAAGCTGTGGCTGCCCCATCCCTGGAGGGGTTCAAGGCCAGGCTGGATGGGGCTTGGAGCAACCTGGTCTGGTGGGAGGTGTCCCTGCCCAGGGCAGGGGGTTGGAACTCAATGATCTTGAAGGTCCCTTCCAACCCAAACCATTCTATGATTCTTCTAGTCATACATAATTATTCTGTTCTGTTAGTTTTCTTGAGTTTTATCTCCTCCCATAGGACCTTAAAAGAGATAGATTTAGTTTTCCACTCACCTGTTCTTTTCAGGCAATTTCAGTAGGAGCTTTGAAGCTAGATGGCATCTGTGGCTACTTAGGAGTGTGAGAACATCTTAGGAGAAGAGGAGGTGGGTGGGGAAGCTATCGAGTGTAAAGATCTGGCAGTGGTGGTGACTGAAGTAGAAGGTAGTGCGTAAGACGTTTGTATTTCAGTTTGTATTTCTTAGAGAATCATTTAGTGATTTAGACACGTGAAACAAAATGTCACATATCCATGTATAACTTTTATTTATTATGGGTTTTTTTTAGCCTCCTTTTTACTGCCGTGATGTTGCTGAGATGTATGAGAATATTCTTCATAAACCTCTAGTTTTGCGCCCAGGAATCAGTCTCACAGCCTGGTCTATTCTGGAAGAACTCTTGGAGAAAGATCGGCAAAGCAGACTTGGAGCAAGGGAAGATTTTGTATGTAATGTCCTAATTTTCCTAATTTACCAAGGATTTATCCTCTACTTCACTTAGAGATATCACTGAACTTACGGGTTTAATAGGTGGAGACAGATTGCTCTATGTCTGTCCCTCTCTTCCTCTTTTTTATTTCTCTGGTAAATACACCAATGTGGTCAATCCCTGGAAGTCGTTTGGGATAGGAGAGAGATGATTGTCCCGGGATATAAATATTTGGAGCTTGGTTGCTGCTGTACCTGCCAGCAAAGGAAACACTGTTCCTGGTGCAGTAGTCACTAAAATTGTAATAAGATAGGTTTTACTGTTTGTAGTGGAACTGGGAAATAATCAAAAGAAAAGGCTATTTTCCAGTAATGTCAGTCTAACTACATGAAAAACAGTCTTCAGCTAAAGAGAAACACTAGTACCTTGCACACAGCAGCTCTATTTTTTTTCTTAGCCTTAAAATCATGGCAAATGTTTTCCCAGTGTAGCAGCAAAATCTTTGTTTGTGAGAAGGTGATGTGAGACAGTACCGATGTCTTCAGAACTGTGCCATCAGGAATGCTCTAGAGGGCTTTTTCCATCAAGTAATTGTGAGATCTTCACAGTCTTCTCTTTGCAACCTTAACGTTAATTACTCTGACCTTCTAAGGAGCATTTAGACTATGACACGATACTTCCTCAGATGAAAGGATGGTAGCATTTTGTGTGGCTATTTGCTGGTACATAACTGATATTGCAGAGTTGTTGAAGCAGCAGCTTCTCGATCATCTGCTTCACAAAAATTGATGAACCTCGAAGGCGGGAGTAGAGACACTAAAAGAACACGGTCTTGCTCTGTGGTGGACTTCAAGATGGCTGATTTTAAGGCTTAAAAAGAGAACATATGATCTTCAAAGGAAACCAGTTTGTTAAAGGCAGGCCAACAAATTTTAATTGCTGTTTTTAACAACTAGATTTTCTATTGCAAAGTAGACTGTAAATAAACTGATGAAGGACTTCCTTACCTGTATGTGGTCTGAACTAGTATTTACTGTGATGCAGAGGATGGATTTCTGAAATATCTAAAAATCTTTATTCCTTACTGCAGCTTGAAATTCAAAAGCACCCGTTCTTTGAATCTCTCAGCTGGACTGATCTTCTTCAGAAGAAGATTCCGCCACCATTTAATCCTAATGTGGTAGGTGCCTGTGCTGTTTTAGTTCATACCTGCCAAATTTCTGCCTCTGAGGGCTCATCTATTTGCAAAGAATGTTCGTTTCAGAATGGTGAGGATTGGGAACCCCCAGTGCTGACTGGACTTTTGAGAAGTCACAATTTTGAGCAATGATACTGTTTTTTCTTTACTTAAAACTCAGTTTGACTTACCACTGTTTCCTCTGCTCATTCCTGTCAAAATACTGTCAATTTTTTGGGGGACTGAACACCAAAGAAGAAAATATAGACAACCTCGTTATGTGAAGACTTCCCAAAAGACTGATTTCCTGCTTTTTTTTTGGTACTTATTAATCTTTACTTGCAGCTTTGCTTTATCCTTCCATCAGTTTAAACTGCGTCAACACGTAAAAGAAACAAGCAGGCTTTTAATAGTTGTTTTCAGACCTGTTGGAACGAGTCCACCTGAGGGCCACGAAGATGCTGCAAGGGCTGGAGCCACCTCTGCTGTGAGGACAGGCTGAGAGAGTTGGGGGTGTTCAGCCTGGAGAAGAGAAGGCTCCGGGGAGACCTTAGAGCCCCTTCCAGTCCCTAAAGGGGCTCCAGGAGAGATGGGGAGGGACTCTGGATCAGGGAGAGGAGCCATAGGATGAGGGGGAACGGTTTTAAACTGGAAGAAGGGAGATTGAGATGAGATTTTTAGGAAGAAATTCTTTGCTGTGAGGGTGGTGAGACACTGGAAGAGGTTGCCCAGAGAAGCTGTGGCTGCCCCATCCCTGGAGGAGTTCAAGGCCAGGCTGGATGGGGCTTGGAGCAACCTGGTCTGGTGGGAGGTGTCCCTGCCCAGGGCAGGGGGTTGGAACTGGATGCTCTTTAAGGTCCCTTCCAACCCAAACCATTTTATGATGATTCTATGATGATGGTGATGCTTCCTTACATTTCCTGTACTTAAATAAGAAAAAACGACAAAGTAGATTGCCTGAGAGTTAAATTTGTAATCTAAAGGGCAAGCACAAGTTTAAACCACTGATGACAACTGATAGATCTTTCTGTTTTCTAGGTTGGACCAGATGATATTGGGAATTTTGATGCAGTGTTTACAGAAGAGGTGATGCTTCCTAAAATTTCCTCTACTTAAATAAGAAAGAATGACAAAGTAGATTGCCTGAGAGTTAAATTTGTAATCTAAAGGGCAAGCACAAGTTTAAACCACACATTACTGTGACAACTGATAGACCTTTCTGTTTTCTAGGTTGGACCAGATGATATTGGGAATTTTGATGCAGTGTTTACAGAAGAAATGGTCCCGTACTCAGTCTGCGTTTCTTCCGATTACAACATCGTTAATGCCAGTGTCCTGGAGGCGGATGATGCATTTGTTGGATTTTCTTATGCCCCACCTTGTGAAGATATGTTTTCCTAGGAAGTTAGAAGCCAACAGTGTTTGGGAAGTCTTGGGGTGAACTCAACCGTTAAGGTCATGGACACATTCCAAAATAGCGTAACTAGTGCCTCGTTTTGTATGTAGGTTTGAAACCTATGAACAAATTTTCTCTGCTGTATAGGAGGAACTTGGGCATTTTGGAAGGCTTTCTTTTGGGGTTTGAACTGTTTGTTCCTGCTGCAGAAAATATTTTTTAAAACCTTTAAAAAGCGTTCTCTACATATTTTTTAAGCAAAAACACTGACTGTTCTCCTCAGTCCCTTCAAGTTTACATTCATACCTATCTAAGATTTGGCTGGGACAAACAGCAGCAAATTTAGTAAATTTATAAATGCTTTTGTACCTATTTACAGTGACTTTGTGCTTGAATTGTAACTATGCAAATTGTCTTTTGTATATCCTGGTTTAAAAAAGGTAAATGTTTTTCCCTGTTATATCAGTTTGAACTAGGTGTTAATTTACCTGTCAGCACTTAAATGAGGGACTAATATAAGTTAAGACCAAGATTCTCAAAGGACTTCTACAGAATGAAGAGTTGGTCGTGTCAAACTGGATCGTTGGCTCTTGTTCTTGCTGAAGTACCCGTTCACTCCACTGGAGTATGGGAGGTGTGGGGGATTTCCAAGGGGAGGGTGGAACAAATTAACTGGATTGATTTGATAACGTTACTGATCGTGTGTTCCGCTTTTCTTTCCTCCCTGAGATAAATACATCTCTATTTCAACTGCATTAAAAATATTTTTTTTTTTGGTTAAAAATCTGCTTTTCCAAAGATATAATATGCAATAATCACTGTTGCTTTGACCTTTTTGGGGGTGGGTGTTGAGGGGATCATGCCAAATATTAGGGATTTTTCTCACGGATTTATAGTTTCAAACACTAATGTGTTCCAAATTGATTGTATTTCAACATTCATAGCCACTCATCTTTGTGTTCCAGTTTGCACCATTTCTAAATCTTCACTTGATATTGGGGGGAAAAAAAATGTAAATTACGCTGATAATTTTAAAAATGTGAAAAGCTCTTGTATTTCTCTTAACATACACGTGTATGGACAAGCAGATAATACTGAACAATTTCTGTTTAAGGAAATTTTTTTAAACAATGCAAAAATTGACTGCAGTTACAGTGTATAAAGGCTTATCACGGTAGTAGTTTTATTATATATATATTACTTGTAAATAACAACTTATTTTTGTCTGTTAATTCAAAAGGTGTTCTGTGTTTTTTGTTCAAAAATCCACCCTGGATTTGAGAGAAGTCTGATAAGACACTGGTGAGTAGCCAGAGTTAAATGTTAGCTAAATTTCAGTATTTAAATTCTCTAATTTCTGACAAAATAAGAACTAGCTAAGAGAAATGCTGTCTATATTGCATCAAGATCAGTTAAAAATTGAGAATATTGGGGAGAAGAGTGTATGAAATGGTAATTATTTTTAAATTAGTGTTGTGTCAATAGTGGAACATTAGACACATGGAAACTAAAAGGGATTCCTTGCTTATCTCAAGCAGTATCTCCTGCACCACAATCTCCTGTGTAGTGCTGAAGTGAGGCTGAGCAGTTGCTGTGTGAGGTGTTAGAAGGAAGATCTCTTCAGAGAAGATCTTCTCTGCCCAGAGAAGCTGTGGCTGCCCCATCCCTGGAGGGGTTCAAGGCCAGGCTGGATGGGGCTTGGAGCAACCTGGTCTGGTGGGAGGTGTCCCTGCCCAGGGCAGGGGGGTTGGAACTCAATCTTTATGGTCCCTTCCAACCCAAACCATTCTATGATGAGGAATGGCTGGGTAAAAGAAGTAAGAATGGACACTGGCGTGGAAGGGAGGAAAGAGCTGTATGGTTTGTGGGAGCAGAGTGGTGGTCATCACCTTCCAAAGTGCTGCTTTCTGAAGGTTTGAGAGGTTCAGAAATGGCTTATGCAGCTTTCAGGACAAGTGACTATTATATGAATTCTGTAATCTTTTGGAAGCAACAGCCTTGCCCCTTTATTTTAATTTTTAAAATCTTTAAACATATGTCTTTCTGAAGGACTGGAAAGCAGAAATTGATTTTAAGAAATGAAGTATCCATTCTCACACTGATTTTTTTATATATTTTTTTTTACACTCTGTACTCCTGAAATGATTGTGGACTACTGTAACTACCTTCTCTTTATGGCAAGGAAGCACATTCTGTGGAAATACGGTGCTCTAGAGACATGGGAAGGAGTGGGGATACCTCAGAAGTTGTTTCTGTGGGAGCCAGCACCCTTTTTGGTTCTTCATCTTGTATTTCCAAGGTGTCTATACCTAGCTGCCTGCCCAGGTGAAGGGGTTTGTTTTTATTTTTTTATTTTTTTTTAATAAATTTGGGCTTTCTTTCCTTGCAATTAAAAATAATATAAAGATGGCAGTGGTGGTTGAAGTTATTTTGGGGAGAGCAGCTTAATAATAATGGCTTGTTAAGCTTTTTGTTTAGTAGGTTCTGCCTTTTTGGCGAAGTGTGAACGTGTCACTCGCGAAATTGAAATTCACTTTGTTTCTCCTACTACAAGTTCAACCTTGTGAAAGGCCGGGGCTTCTAGAGGTAACAGTCCTGCATCTCTTTGTGTTTCATGATGCTGTTTTTCAGAGCAAAATGGCCAGATTTGGGGTGTAGTAGCCCCTTCACCCCAGCTGAGCTGGAAAGTGAAATCTGAAGCACTGGTTGTGGTAGAGCCTAGATAGGAGACGGTCAAAGAACATACACAGGAACCAGCTGTGGTATTCCCTTCCTGTTTTGGCGGCTATGTAATGAAAGGGAGGGAAAAATTTGTCTTTTTATGAGTAATGCAGGGGTTTTTCACCTGTCTGTAGCAAAAGGGGATTGTTCTCCCCTTCCAGAGGTGCAGATGAACCCCGTGAGGAACAGGCTGTCTCTCCCGGTGCTGTGGAAGCCAAGGAGCGGTGCTGACTTTCTGCTCTTCATTCTTTTGGCCTGTGAGAGGAGAGCAAGAGAGACAACAGGAAGGTGGACTGATTGAAGTGCATGGTAGTTGTAAAAACCTGACCTGAAATACGACAGAAGAAGAGAGTTTAGAGGTGACAGGTAAGTTTGCAGATGGCTGGTGTGCTAAAGGAGGGTGTAGCCAGGGGGGGTCGGTCTCTTCTCCCAAGAAACAGGCGATGGGAAAAGAAAAAAAGGCCTCACGTCCCCCCAGGGGAGGTTCAGATTGGAGATTAGGAACAATTTTTACAGTGAAAGGGTTATCGAACGTTGGAATGGGTGGTGGAGTCACCATCCCTGGAGGTATTTAAAAGACAGGTTGACATAGTGCTTAGAGACATGGTTTAGTGATGGCTTTTTATAGGCGTTGGGTTGATGGTTGGACTTGATGATGTGAAAGGTCCCAACCCGGGTAATTCTATAATTCTGTGCAATATTTGTTAATGAAAGAGAAAATGGTTTTAGGAATATGTTGCCTGTGTGCGTTTTGGTGCTGATTACACTCCCAGTGCAGGGCCCTTCTCAGGTGGCCACAGGAAAGCTAAGGCAGTGCACCCCACAGTAGCCTGGTGTCCAGTGGGGCGGCCACCCAGAAGAGGTGGTGGCTGGTGGGCCTTGTGGCTACTGGGTGGGCTTAGGGTTTGTCTTCACTCAAGGTGGGGAAGAAGGAGTTGTGGCACTGGTGCTGCCCTTCAGGGGACTGGTAATGGCGGCCTTGGGTGTCTGTGGCCCTCAGGGCCTGTGGGCTGAGGGGAGCTCTGGGGGCTTTCCCGCCTGGGCCACACAGTGCCACTGGGCCTGGTGGGTGCTGGCTGAGGGAAAAGCTCTGGCTGACCCATCCTGTGGCTGTTGAACTCCTCATGACCACCCTGAAAACATCCCTGCTTGCCTCTCCTGTGGGCACACTGGCACCTTCTTAGGGAGAAGGCGCCGTGGTCCCTCTCCCCGCTGTGGTATGGGCAGCCTAGTGGATCTTGCTGCCCATTGCTGCCAACACAGAGGGGCGTAGGAAGCCTGGAGAGAATATTTTCATAGATATTCAAAGAAGTGTGGCCAGCAGGTCAAGGGATATGATTCTACCCCTCTACTCCACTCTTATGAGACCCCACCTGAAATACTGTGTCCAGCTTTGGAGTTCCCAACATAAAGAGACCATGGACCTGTTGGAGTGGGTCCAGAGGAGACCATGGGGATGTTCAGAGGGCTGGAGACCCTCTGCTGTGAGCACCGGCTGAGAGAGTTGGGGTGGTTCAACCTGGAGAAGAGAAGGCTCCAGGGAGACCTTAAAGCCCCTTCCAGTCCTTAAAGGGGCTCCAGGAGAGATGGGGAGGGACTCCTGATCAGGGAGGGAAGCCATAGGACGAGGGGGGACAGTTTTAAACTGAAAGAGGGGAGATTTAGATGAGATCTTGAGAAGAAATTCTTTGCTGATTCTGTTTGGGAAAGAGAGCTGGTGGGGTTTGTGAGGAGGGGGTGGCTTTGGTCACCATGCTGTGTCCTGTGCTGGAGTGCAGCTGAGGGGGAATTTACCTGGCTATAGGGACACTGGGGAAGGCAGTTATCCCAGTAGTGGGACAGGTCAGGCTTTATTTTCTGAAGCTTAGGCGATGGCAGTGTTTGGTACACAATAGGGCTATAGCTTAGTCCCTCCTAATCATGTTTGGTGTCCTTCCCTTCTAGCCCGGGGAACTCTGGGTCCAGAGAGAGACAGTGCATCTGTCTGTGTGTTCTTTTAATCCCTTCTTGCTGAAGATTTCAAGGGATGGAGCAGTAATCATGTAAGACTAATCCTAAAGACACTGGGAATCCCTACTATAAATTCTCTTTCAATTTGTGCTTAAAATTTGTTACTTCAGGCCACTAAACACCTCCCACCAGCTGCACGCGGAGGCACTGTGTGCACTGGTATCCACTTACTCCTCTTTCAGGTGTTGATCTCTGCCCTCTGAAAGCCAGTTCTGTGGACTCCTTCAGGGGATCTTTCATGAGCTATGAGCGTTGCTTCCTCATCAGCCCAATAATTCTGTCTTGTCCTTTACCAGGTTTCTGAATCTGTTTTTGAAGACTTAAGTGGCATTTCGTATTGGTCATCTGTAGAGAGGACAAAGGACTTTGTAGACAAAAATCCATAAGAGAGTAAAACAGATATCTATATACAAAATACCATATTTTGGTCTGGTAATTCTCTGTCTAAATTCAGCAAAGTATGAGACTTTTTTTAAAAAATAAAATTGCAGAGGTGTGGCTAATACACAATGTCAGCTTCCAAAACAAAACTATATTTGTGAACGTTTTATCTCTGGGAATCAGAGTTGATCTTCTGTGTATGTGGATGGAAATAACTTGATCTTGGGAAGGCTTAAGTTAGTGCTACAGGAGGAAAGAGCAGAGCAGGAAAGTCAGATTTAAAGATATTGCCCAGTTTCACACTTCTAACAGCTGTGACAGACTTCCCAGATAAGGGAGATGTCTAAGTCTGGTTTTTGATAGGCTGGTTATACCTATAAAACACATAAGGGGAGTTAAATTAAATGCAAGCTTTAACTTCGTGGGTTAGGGAATTGGGCAGTGAAATAATTCACTGAGCATTCCACTAGAGCATTCTTCAGGAATTTACTTTGGGAATGTAGTATGCTTCAGCCTTTGGGAAGAACTTTCAACTCAATAGTAGTATTTTTAAAATTTCTAAAACCCTTAAAGAATTGTATAGTTGGAAAAAGAGACTGTTTATTTTCATTTCATATGGCTTTGTTAATACATACCTGTATTATTATCATAGTGTGGTCAGTTCTAATATGATTTCTTCACAGTTTATTCCAACATTTTGATAAAGAGAGCGAAGATCTTTCTTGGAAGATGCATCCTGAAATACAGAAAATGAGAGAAATTGCCCTTATTTACCTTGACAGAAGTGGCGGCCTTCAGAAATTTGTGCAGGATTGCAAAAAATATAATGGTATTACTCACTAAATAGATACTCTGTTAAATTCATACAAAATATTGCACGAGTCTCTGTTATTTTTATTTAAAGTATTTTCTGCTTCACAGACTCCAAACAAAGCTATGCTGTTTATCGTTTCATTATTTCAATAAATCCTTCTGATATTGCTGAATTAGATGCAACTCTTGGAAACTACATTCTTCATAATCCCATCCAAGCTGCACAGATTTTTCAGTCAGTAAGTGTCTATTTATAGACAAGCGTAGACAAAAGTACATCGTCTGATGTTTTAACTAGATTTTCCTTTCTAAAATGAAGTTATTTTTCAATCACAGGTATGTTTCATAGCTATTAAGACGTTATCCTTAATTGAACAAATGCAGACAGAAGCCCAGGTGAGCCTGCGTTGTTTTCCTCCATTTAGATCTTAAATCTTTTAAGTATAGTGAAGTATTAGGAAATATTGCTTTTGTTTTAGCTCTTCAGTTTTCGTTTTCCCTTTGGTTGTAGTATTATCGGTAATTAAAAATAGCTGGAAGTCTCACCCAACCATATTGCAGGAATTTTGAGGTAATGAATATGAAACAGAATTATTCTTACACTTCATGAGTTTCTGAATTTTTTTTTTTAATAATAGGTATTGTGTATTAGTAAAGCAGTTTTAAATAAAAAATAATAATGGTATTAATGGAATTTTGTCTTTCTCTTGTTAGATTAGTATACTGCTGAAACCAACACATTTGCCACCTTTATCAAGTTATGTGCTCAGTCTTTCTGCGTTTCCCTTTAATTACACATCCCAGAGATTTTACATGTCTGAAGGAATAGCCATCGCAATGGGCACTGTGACAAAATACACACAAGGAGCAAGATTTCTTTGTACTGAGGAAACCTGTCCGTTTTCTGAAGGTAGTAAAAAAAAAAAAAATAATTACTGTTTCAAAAACTTTTTTTAAGAATTTTGGTAATTTCCAATAGGAAACTCTGCCATCTTGTGGTCGATCTTACTGTTTCAAAAACTTTTTAAGGATTTTGGTAATTTCCAATAGGAAACTCTGCCATCTTGTGGTCGATCTCTAATAAATTATAAATTATAGAGATCATTATAGTGGAAGCATAGTATATGAACATATGCTCCTCTGAAAAAACACATGATAAATTTAGAATTTAACTGCCCAGTATTTTAATAATTTCTATTCTTAATGGGAAATTTAAAATGAAAGCCAAGTACCCATTTTAAATGTTTGGTAAATTAATATTTAATACTTTAACTTTTTTAGGATATAGGTACATAAGAGTGCATATGCCTGGAGCTACAGAGTCTGCCACAGTGAGGAGTGATTTTGTGTGTAGTTTGTGTTCTTCACCACTGCAGGAAGACATGAAATTTAGAGTACTTGGTGGTAGGATCTATGTAGTTTTATTTTTAGATCTATTACCTTCCTACTTCTGTTAAATAATAAGTAAAAAAACCTGGTTAAGTAGAAAAAGCTCCAAAATACACCAGTCATTAAAAAAAACAAACTATCAAAAAAAACCCCAAACAAACAAAGTTTTAATGTTTTCAAGAGAACTAACCTTTTCTTTTTCTTTTATTTTGAAAGATAAACAAATAGTTGAAATGATTGATGCAAAAGTTCTCAATGCTTTGAAAGGATTTTCCAGCGATAAATCACATTTTAGGATTCAGGCATTTACAGTTTTCCTGAGAGGTAAGCTGAATTGTGGAGATTTGTCAAAAAAAAACTTTTACAATTGAACTGTAATAATTCCTTGCATTTTCTTTTTATCCAGAGAAATGGATCTATAAATAGTGAAAGTCATAATTCATATTGCAGTTCTTTAACAAAATTAGGGGGGAAAATATATAAAATTAGCTGGGTGATTAAACAGGTGATTGAAGAGTGCATGTGGCAAAACTGTTGTGTTCACTTATATACCCTTATTTAAATAAACTCTGCAGTGTCACATTCTAACTGTAGCTTGTTTTTTTTCCTCCTTTCCACTTCCTTTGGCCATACTGTATTGTACTAACTTCACAGCTTTTTAACATCCTTCCTCAATCTAGCTGTTTTCCACATTCCATCAGGATTTTTGGCTTCTACTACCACTACCTTCCACTGCAAATGTTAAATGATTTTCATGTGCCAATCTAATGTGACTTTCCAGCTGAAATAGCAGCTCAACAACATGCTTTCATTAATTCTCTTTAAAAAAAAAAAAAAGAAACAAAACAAAAAAGTGAACCCTGCCATTCCAAAATAGCTCCAAAATAATGAGAAACACTTAAAAACTGCCACTATAAGTGTATTGTTATAAAACAAGAGTCTATGGGTTATGCATGTGCTAAATGGGTTTCACAGCTGAGATTCATATTTGCTTGGACCTAACTCTCATGTCCAAAAAATAAATGTGACTTTTTGATTTTAAAAAAAAAAAACGCACAAAAATACAAAGGTTCCCAAAACTATTTGTGTGTCTCTTTGAAATCTGTTAAGTTTGGATCTCCTTTTTATTGTGTTTTTTTCTCTGTTTTATAGCTGATGATGTTGTCACAAGTATCAGAACAGGAATGCATATTTGCAAACAACTGTCCGCTTTCTTTTTGATGCAGAACTAAACACATCATCCATTTTCTGTATCAGGAATCTACTTTTCCTCACCCAGTGTACCTTCCTTGCTTTTTATATTAATTAATTAGAATTGTATGCTTCATTTTCTTCTGGTCTGTTATGGTGAACCACATATCCAATTGTTGTTTTCTGCAATTAAATCATAAAATTGAACTTTCCATAGTTTGGAGAAGAAAACTCTTCTGATCATGTCTTTAAAACTGTTTTTATGCCCTAACTCATCTGCAGGTTCCTGTCTTCCCCACCACCACCTTTTCTTTTTTATATTATTATTACTTTTTATTTCCAGATGAACTGGCCAATAAAATGGAAATAGGAAACCACTACAAGATTATAGGAATTCCTGCTTGTGTACAAAATGGCTTACAAGCTACAGCATGTATAGAAGTCAATAGTGTACAGCTCTGTAAACCAAATGGTAAGAAAGAGTCCTTAAAAATTGGCTAAAAAAGTTGGAAAACCTTCTGGAACAAAATCCTGAGAACTAGCATGGTTTTCTATTATCTAGAGGTCCAGATTATGAAACCACTCTGGGACTTTCCTCTCTGTCTGAAATGTACCTTACTGTTATTTGAGAATATCTTCTTTAACTATATTTTTATTGATTGCAGTTCCTCACCTTCTCTTTCCAACTTCTTCCATCCATTGGAAGGTACTTTGAAATGATACATTAAATGAACCTGGTATTTCAGTTTGTTATTCCTTTCTGATTCCATCCATTTTAGCTGATTGTGTCTACTACCTTTTTAGTATTTTTATTAATATTACCAGATGTTTACATTCTGAATTTATACTTAATACATAGTTATTTGTTGTTTGTAGGGTTTGTATCAAACCAGAATGGTGATTTGTTGTGATACATCTGCATCACTCTCTTAGGAAGTGTTTGTTAACCTGTGCTTTGTTTTAATTAGGTCCTGCTTTTGTCGGTGACAATTTTAAGTATCTGCTCTCACTGGCTTCAAGTTCATGCTGGAGGTTCACTGCCATCCTTGCCAATATCTTTGCTTCTCAAGTGGTCCCACCAGGCACTTACAACACTCTTAAACTGGCAATATTGCTGAGCCTGGTACAGACAGGTGAAAAAGAAAATGCAGATTATCTGGATCTGTTGGTTGTGACAAGTGACACGCTAGTAATTGATAGGTAAAGACATTCCTTATTTTCCATGTAAATTAGAATTAAAAACACGAGTGTTTTTAAAGATGGTAATAGGATCTGTCTTGTGTGAAAGGCTAAAGAGACTATATTTTAAAAGAACATACAGGACTCTGACTTAGTAAAAATACTCAATTTTTATTCCTGGGACATTGTTATTTCTTTCAAGTGATAAATCTAGATCAGAACTTCACTTAAAATAAAGCCCCTCAACGCTCTCATAATGATCTAAAGATTTTAATACTAGCACTCTTTAGTAGAGCTCAAACAGAACATTTTTCTAAAATCAGAACTGAAGGCTGTCCTGGAAGCTGGTAAGAAAAGCCAAGGGCTTAACTTTTCAAACCTTGTGTCACTTTGAGCCTTTTCATCACCAATTTCCAGCTATCAGCATTTTAATTTAATAACAGCATGTAAGTAGATACTTACATCTTTATCACTCTCACAAAAAATACACTGATAAGGTATCAAAAGCAATGTACATCTTTACATGTGTAGCTCATAAATCTGGTGTTTGTTGCCTTTAACAAAATATTTTTCTGTGCATGTGATGTTTTTACCCTTTCACATACCTATAAACTGCTAACACATTTTCACATATACTGCAGAAGAGTACAATACACTCAGCTTTACATTTACATTAATTTAAATACAACTACTTTCTCCTTTGCCAACTCAAAAGAGGGCTTCATTTTTATTTTTGAGAAAGACATTGGAAAGTGACATGAATTTTAGTTTCATGTAAGAGCCCTTAAAAAAAATTCACTAGTATCTTGTGGAAAAAAAGACACTTGAACCATTTCAAAATTTAGCTGCAGAAATTACTACAAATTTGAAAAAAATGTGGGCTGCAGGATTTTTTTTCCCTGGGCTTGAGTAAGATTTCATGAGAGAAATCATAGGAACTAGAGAGTGTTAATATTAAAATTTACACACAGTAAATTTTCTGCTGTGCACTGTCTGCAGGTGCACAATGTATTTCATTGTCACAGAGTCACAGAATGATGTGGGGTTGGAAGGGACCTCTGGAGATCATCCACTCCAACCCCCTGCCAGAGCGGGGTCACCCAGAGCAGGTCCCACAGGAACGTGTCCAGGTGGGTTTGAATGTCTCCAGAGAAGGAGACTCCACCACCTCTCTGGGCAGCCTCTGCCAGGGCTCTGCCACCCTCACAGGAAAGAAGTTCCTCCTCATGTTTAGGTGGAACTTCTTACATTCAAGTTTGTGCCCATTTCCTCTTGTCCTGTCACTGGGCACCACTGGAAAAAGCCTGGCCCCATCCTCCTGACACCCACCCTTTCAGTATTTATAGGTGTTGATCAGATCCCCCCTCAGTCTTCTCTTCTCCAGACTAAAAAGACTCAAGTCCCTCAGCCTCTTCTCATAAGAGAGATGCTCCAGGCCCCTCATCATCTTTGTGGCCTCTGCTGTACCCTCTCCAGCATTTCCTTGCTGGAGGTCTCTCAGTGGCCTGTCAAAGTAGGCATTTGCTATGTCATATTTTTATTGGTACAATAGCATATTTATTAATAATTATTAATTTGAATTAACAATTTTCTCCATTGTTGATAGTAGGATAAATCATGCTCTGACATATTAAAGTCATTAGGAGCCTTTGATTGTGGAAGACAGACAATTTGCAACCTTTTTGTGCCAAGGACCATAGTACAGGGGGTGGAAAAGAAATTCCATACCCGCTTTCTCAAAAAGAATTGGGGAGGGGGGGGGTGGATTTAATGCTGGCATTAAATCCACAGGTTTTCATTTTTCCCAGCTGACCAGGATTGCTAATCCCCTGCCCTTTTAAATCACTGGAAAAGTTCATCTAGAATAGGAACAGGAGATAACAACACGGAGTTACATTATGAGACTGCTTTGACTTCTTAATAATTACTTCTGTTGCAAACCATGATGGGATTTGCCTCATATGTTAAATCCATGAGGGTTTTTTTTGTTGTTCCAAAGTGAGTCTGAATATATATTAATACCAGTATAAAGTATTAATTACAATATTAAGTTCTTAAAGTTTTGAAATGCTGAACAATGATTTAACAATTTATGACTGACTGAATTATTTAACCCTCTAGGCTGCTGAATTACAGCGTGTGTCTCCTGCCTCGAGGTGTCCGACACCCGCCGTCGAGTGACATCTTTCCTTCTGTGTCCAAGGACAGACACGGGACGGGAAGCGCCAGTATCCAGGCCTGCAGTGCTGTGCTGGCCAAGGGTGGGGTCTGTTACATTGGAGACTTATCTTCATATAAAAAGGATAAACTTGAACTCTTGCAGTCTGGTAAGCTCCCACTTAGCCACAAGTTTGTTTGTTCTGCTCCCTTGTTTGTTACTAAGTTTGTTCCCCGCTTTATGGCCCTCAAATGCTGAGAAAATCTATAAGCTATTTTTAACCAGTCTGTGTAAGAAACAAGGACAAAAGAGCCAAGGTCATATAAGGTGACATTTGAATCACAGAATGGTTTGGGTTGGAAGGGACCTTCAAGATCATCCAGTTCCAACCCCCTGCCCTGGGCAGGGACACCTCCCACCAGCCCAGGTTGCTCCAAGCCCCATCCAGCCTGGCCTTGAACCCCTCCAGGGATGGGGCAGCCACAGCTTCTCTGGGCAACCTCTTCCAGTGTCTCACCACCCTCACAGCAAAGAATTTCTTCCTGAGATCTCATCCCAATCTCCCCTCTTTCAGTTTAAAACCCTTCCCCCTCATCCTATGGCTCCCCTCCCTGATCCAGAGTCCCTCCCCATCTCTCCTGGAGCCCCTTTAGGGACTGGAAGGGGCTCTAAGGTCTCCCTGGAGCCTTCTCTTCTCCAGGTTGAACCCCCCCAACTCTCTCAGCCTGTCCCCACAGCAGAGGGGCTCCAGCCCTCTGAGCATCTTTGTGACCCTCTGCTGGCCCCATCCCAACAGGTCCATGTCCTTCCTGTGCTGAGGACTCCAGAGCTGGACACAGAGCTCCAGGTGGGGTCTCCCCAGAGCGGAGCAGAGGGGCAGAATCCCCCCCTGGCCCTGCTGGCCACGCTGCTGGGGATGCAGCCCAGGATGGGGGTGGCTTTCTGGGCTGCCAGCGCACGTTGCTGGCTCATGTTGAGCTTCTCATCCACCAACACTCCCAAGTCCTTCTTCTCAGGGCTGCTCTCCAGCCATTCTCCGCCCAACCTGTATTTGTGACTGGGATTGCCGCATCCCAGGTACAGGACCTTGCACTTTGTTTGGTTGAACTTCATGAGGTTTGCACAGGCCCACCTCTCAAGCCTGTCCAGGTCCCTCTGGATGGCATCCCTTCATTCCAGCGTGTCAACTGTGCCACACAGCTTGGTGTCATTGGCAAACTTGCTGAAGGTGCACTCAATCCCACTGTCCATGTTGCCAACAAAGATGTTACACAACACTGCTCCCAGTACTGACCCCTGAGGGACACCACTCATCACTGGCTTCCACTTGGACATTGAGACATTGACCACAACCCCTTGTGTGTGGCTGTCCAGCCAGTTCCTGATCATCTCTCCAGTTTAGAGACCAGGATGTCGTGTGGGACAGTTCTACACAGCCTGCTACACAGGCTCCACCATAGAGAGGGCACTGACCATGACATTTCAGTGAAATACATAATTGTGACCAGTTTCAGAGAGTTGGGGGTGGGGATGGGACTGGAATTTCTGGTTAAACTCGATCATTTACGTTAACTGACATATTTTTGTCCTGTCCTAGTGCTGGAGAGCAGAACGACAACGGTGTTCATTCCTGGGAAGAAGTATGGAGAAGAGGCCGACCAACAAGTTACTATTTCAATTCAGACCAATTTTTGGTCTTTTATAGATGTGGATTCTTCCTCCAAGAAACATATACAAAAGGAGAATTTTTTAATTGGACAGATGGTAAAGCACATGCCTTGCTGCCACAGTAACTATTACAGCAGTCGTTTGTGTTTACGGTTATTTCAACTTATAAAATAACAAGAACAATCAAATTTGTTAGTATTTCCCAAAAAGTCATAACTTAAGTGACTTTAAATCAAGTACCTTCTAAAATGAGCTGGGTTTTTAGTAGGTATCATTTATTTTATAAATATAAATATTTATAAAAGCTTTTGACAACAAGTACTGAAACAAAATGTTACTCTATATTTTAGGTAATTAATTGGATAATCTTGCAGGATTCTGTATATATTGATATTGAACAGTTCAGACTGAAAAAAAAAAATACAAAAAAAACTATTAACAGTAGGTAATATGCCAAGTTTCAGGGCTTCATAGCACAAGGAAGTCACCCAGTCAGCGACAAGTATAACTGCACAGTATTTGGGGAAAGTCTCCATAATTCCTGAATTATGGAAAAAAAACTACTTGCAATTTACAGAAATGCTTGGACCGGGGCAATAGGTATTGTGTTCATGCCCCCAGTATTTTTTTATTTGATGTGCTTCTATTCATCTTGTAGGATTTCACTGTCTAAGGCTCACACTAAACTAAGTTTAAGAAAGAAAGTTCTTGAGGAAGATGCGCTGATTGCCATCTTGTTACTTGAATCATCTCTTATCCTAAAACACGGTAATTAACGTTATTAACTTGGTCTTTAGTCTGGGGTACATAGTTTCTGTATTTGTGTCAGATTGGGAACAGTCTCTATGGAGTGATGGCAGTGACAGTTGGTTTTTTTCAAATGGAAGTGCAGGATTCCCCCTGGTGAAGGAAGGCTGAGACGGGACAGTGTAGTCCCAGTGCTGTGTGAAAGGGGCCCCAGGGAAACAGAAGACAAGGGTTAGATTTGGTTGGTTTTTTTGTTTATCTATCTAGCATTACATTTATTAACACGCAAATTTGGCACCGAGACAAGAATTCACAGAATTGCCTGGGTTGGAAGGGACCTTTAAGATTATCTAGTCCAACCATCACAGAGCTCCAGGTGGGGTCTCCCCAGAGCGGAGCAGAGGGGCAGAATCCCCCCCTGGCCCTGCTGGCCACGCTGCTGGGGATGCAGCCCAGGATGGGGGTGGCTTTCTGGGCTGCCAGCGCACGTTGCTGGCTCATGTTGAGCTTCTCATCCACCAACACTCCCAAGTCCTTCTTCTCAGGGCTGCTCTCCAGCCATTCTCCGCCCAACCTGTATTTGTGACTGGGATTGCCGCATCCCAGGTACAGGACCTTGCACTTTGTTTGGTTGAACTTCATGAGGTTTGCACAGGCCCACCTCTCAAGCCTGTCCAGGTCCCTCTGGATGGCATCCCTTCATTCCAGCGTGTCAACTGTGCCACACAGCTTGGTGTCATTGGCAAACTTGCTGAAGGTGCACTCAATCCCACTGTCCATGTTGCTGACAAAGATGTTACACAGCACAGGTCCCAGTGCTGACCCCTGAGGGACACCACTCATCACTGGCTTCCATTGGACATTGAGCCATTGACCACAACCCCTTGTGTGTGGCTGTCCAGCCAGTTCCTGATCATCTCTCCAGTTTAGAGACCAGGATGTTGTGTGGGACAGTTCTACACAGCCTGCTACACAGGCTCCACCATAGAGAGGGCACTGACCAGGACATTTCAGTGAAATACATAATTGTGACCAGTTTCAGAGAGTCAAGGACAGGATGGGACTGGAATTTCTGGTTAAACTCGATCATTTACGTTAACTGACATATTTTTGTCCTGTCCTAGTGCTGGAGAGCAGAACGACAACGGTGTTCATTCCTGGGAAGAAGTATGGAGAAGAGGCCGACCAACAAGTTACTATTTCAATTCAGACCAATTTTTGGTCTTTTATAGATGTGGATTCTTCCTCCAAGAAACATATCCAAAAGGAGAATTTTTTAATTGGACAGATGGTAAAGCACACGCCTTGCTGCCACAGTAACTATTACAGCAGTCGCTTGTGTTTACGGTTATTTCAACTTATAAAATAACAAAAACAATCAGATTTGTTAGTATTTCCAAAAAGTCACAACGTAAGTGACTTTAAATCAAGTATCTTCTAAAATGAGCTGTTTTTTTAGTAGGTATCATTTATTTTATACATATAAATATTTATAAAAGCTTTTGACAACAAGTACTGACACAAAATGTTACTCTATATATTTTAGGTAATTAATTGGATAATCTTGCAGGACTCAGTATATATTGATATTGAACAGTTCAGACTGAAAAAAAAAAAGTACAGTGTTTCTACAAGCCAAAAGGCCAAAATCAAGTCATTTGTTTTCTTTCTCTGGGTCTTCTGTTTAGGATGTGAGTTTGATTCCCTCTAACCTTCTCGATGTTTTTGGGCTTCTGATATACAACGAGTCTCCTTCGTGCCGACTGTCTTCTCCTGTCGTACAGCACATCTTGAAAAAAGCCCTGAATCCTGAAGCCATGCTGTACAAAGCCTCCCAGCAGTTCAGGATGCAGGATTATGAGGAGGTAACAGTTACTACCCAGTAGTTTTGAAATGCGTTGTACTTGGGAATCTCATCCTGTTTCTGGAATCAGAAAGGTCTCTCTGCACATTCTGCTTATTTTTAACCCCGTCAATACTCACTTCCTACCTTTTCCCCCCCTGCCGTATTCCCACGAGCATTAAAAGGATCATTGAAAATATTGGCTTCAGTTCTTCAAAAGGGCCAACATAATAAATTCAGTTTGATCTTCACGGAATCATGGAATTGTAAGAGTTGGAAGGGACCTTCTAGAGATCATCCAGTCCAACTCCCCTGCCAAAGAAGGGTTGCCCAGAGCACATTACACAGGAGCACCCAGGTGGGGCTTGAAGATCTCCAGAGAAGGGGACTCCACACCCTCCCTGGGCAGCCTCTTCCAGGGCTCTGGCACCCTCACCCCAAAGAAGTTCTTCCTCAGATTTGAGTGGAACTTCCCATGTCCCACCTTGTGCCCGTTGACCCTCGTCCTGTCACTGGGAACCACTGAAAAGAGTCCAGCTCCATCCTCCCTTAACCCACCCTTTAGATCCTTGTCAGCATTAATAAGGTCTCCCCTCAGCCTTCTCTTCTCCAGGCTAAAGAGTCCCATCTCTCTCAGCCTTTCCTCATAAGGGAGATGCTCCAATCCCTCCATCATCTTAGTTGCCCTTCGCTGGACTCTCTCCAGCAGTTCCCTGTCTCTTTTGAACTGGGGAGCCCAGAACTGGACGCAGGATTCCAGTTGTGGCCTCCCCAGTGCAGAGCAGAGGGGCAGAATGACCTCCCTTGACCTGCTGGCCACACTCTTCCCTACACAGCCCAGGATTCCATCTTGTTTCTGGAAAACACACTAGGTTAACATTCATATAGAATCATAGAATGGTTAGGGTTGGAAGGGACCTCAAAGATCATCGAGTTCCAACCCCCAATATGAGAACTCCAATACCTACTTTTGATCAGAATAGTTTACAATCAGTAGTAAAAGTTAATTATTCCATTTGAAATAAACTGTCAATATCTCTAGCATAATTAACAGATGATTGTGTTTAGTATCTGAGATCTCTCCTCGTGCGTAGCTGAATGGTGACTGCTGTCTTTATATCTCTATTGGTAGAGCTTATTGTCCTGAGTATATTACTGGTATGTTAAAAGGTGTGAAAAAATGTAAATTCTTTATTTTCCAGTTAAATACTTAAAACGCATCCCCTCTCTCTAGTTTATTTTGTTTGCCAAGAATCTGCACGTTGAGCTGAGTCCCGAAGCAGAAAACCTCATTCAGGGCTACTACGTCGCCAGTCGCAGAGTGAGAAGAGACTCCCTCCATGGATCCACCTTATCCTCATCCGCACTGAAAATCCTGTGTGTCCTGCTCCTCACAGTACAGGGAACAGATCTACCTTTCAAATAGAAACTGTGCTAACCTGCCTAAAAGCTTCTTAAATCAAAACCTAGACGAGGCTCTTCAGTTTTGAAAAGTTCAAGAATAAAGAATCTTATCTATTATTTATCAACACTGTTCATTTTCTATATTGATGTTGCCAAAAAAAAAAAAAGTGTTAAGAACTTCACTGGGCAAATCCTAGTAATTAAGTAACAATTATCAGTCTTAAAGCTTTGTAGGAAAAACAAAAATGGGATTTAAGTTATGACAGCTTTGTATTATGCAAGAAAAAAAAAGTGTAACTGCGCAGTATTTGGGGGAAGTCTCCATAATTCCTGAATTATGGAAAAAAAACTACTTGCAATTTACAGAAATGCTTGGACCGGGGCAATAGGTATTGTGTTCATGCCCCCAGTATTTTTTTATTTGATGTGCTTCTATTCATCTTGTAGGATTTCACTGTCTAAGGCTCACACTAAACTAAGTTTAAGAAAGAAAGTTCTTGAGGAAGATGCGCTGATTGCCATCTTGTTACTTGAATCATCTCTCATCCTAAAACACGGTAATTAACGTTATTAACTTGGGTCTTTAGTCTGGGGTACATCATCACTTCTGTATTTTTGTCAGTTTGGAAACAGTTTCTATGGAGTGATGGCAGTGACAGTTGGTTCTTTCCACATGGAAGTGCAGGATTCCCCCTGGTGAAGGAAGGCTGAGACGGGACAGCGGAGTCCCAGTGCTGTGTGAAAGGGGCCCCAGGGAAACAGAAGACAAGGGTTAGATTTGGTTGGTTTTTTTGTTTATCTATCTAGCATTACATTTATTAACACGCAAATTTGGCACCGAGACAAGAATTCACAGAATTGCCTGGGTTGGAAGGGACCTTTAAGATTATCTAGTCCAACCATCAACCTAACACTGACAAAAACCATCACTAAACCATGTCACTGAGCACTATTATTAATTATGATGCAACACTTCACAATGGTAACACACACGATTGCATTACTAAGTAATTTGTGTTGTTTTTTTTTCCTTCAAAGGCCTGGCAGAAGCTATCACATCTTTTAGCATAAGCCTTAATTTTACACAGGAGCACCCAGGTGGGGCTTGAAGATCTCCAGAGAAGGGGACTCCACACCCTCCCTGGGCAGCCTCTTCCAGGGCTCTGGCACCCTCACCCCAAAGAAGTTCTTCCTCAGATTTGAGTGGAACTTCCCATGTCCCACCTTGTGCCCGTTGACCCTCGTCCTGTCACTGGGAACCACTGAAAAGAGTCCAGCTCCATCCTCCCTTAACCCACCCTTTAGATCCTTGTCAGCATTAATAAGGTCTCCCCTCAGCCTTCTCTTCTCCAGGCTAAAGAGTCCCATCTCTCTCAGCCTTTCCTCATAAGGGAGATGCTCCAATCCCTCCATCATCTTAGTTGCCCTTCGCTGGACTCTCTCCAGCAGTTCCCTGTCTCTTTTGAACTGGGGAGCCCAGAACTGGACGCAGGATTCCAGTTGTGGCCTCCCCAGTGCAGAGCAGAGGGGCAGAATGACCTCCCTTGACCTGCTGGCCACACTCTTCCCTACACAGCCCAGGATTCCATCTTGTTTCTGGAAAACACACTAGGTTAACATTCATATAGAATCATAGAATGGTTAGGGTTGGAAGGGACCTCAAAGATCATCGAGTTCCAACCCCCAATATGAGAACTCCAATACCTACTTTTGATCAGAATAGTTTACAATCAGTAGTAAAAGTTAATTATTCCATTTGAAATAAACTGTCAATATCTCTAGCATAATTAACAGATGATTGTGTTTAGTATCTGAGATCTCTCCTCGTGCGTAGCTGAATGGTGACTGCTGTCTTTATATCTCTATTGGTAGAGCTTATTGTCCTGAGTATATTACTGGTATGTTAAAAGGTGTGAAAAAATGTAAATTCTTTATTTTCCAGTTAAATACTTAAAACGCATCCCCTCTCTCTAGTTTATTTTGTTTGCCAAGAATCTGCACGTTGAGCTGAGTCCCGAAGCAGAAAACCTCATTCAGGGCTACTACGTCGCCAGTCGCAGAGTGAGAAGAGACTCCCTCCATGGATCCACCTTATCCTCATCCGCACTGAAAATCCTGTGTGTCCTGCTCCTCACAGTACAGGGAACAGATCTACCTTTCAAATAGAAACTGTGCTAACCTGCCTAAAAGCTTCTTAAATCAAAACCTAGACGAGGCTCTTCAGTTTTGAAAAGTTCAAGAATAAAGAATCTTATCTATTATTTATCAACACTGTTCATTTTCTATATTGATGTTGCCAAAAAAAAAAAAAGTGTTAAGAACTTCACTGGGCAAATCCTAGTAATTAAGTAACAATTATCAGTCTTAAAGCTTTGTAGGAAAAACAAAAATGGGATTTAAGTTATGACAGCTTTGTATTATGCAAGCAAAAAAAACTATTAACAGTAGGTAATATGCCAAGTTTCAGGGCTTCATAGCACAAGGAAGTCACCCAGTCAGCGACAAGTATAACTGCACAGTATTTGGGGAAAGTCTCCATAATTCCTGAATTATGGAAAAAAAACTACTTGCAATTTACAGAAGTGCTTGGACCGGGGCAATAGGTATTGTGTTCATGCCCCCAGTATTTTTTTTATTTGATGTGCTTCTGTTCATCTTGTAGGATTTCGCTGTCTAAGGCTCACACTAAACTAAGTTTAAGAAAGAAAGTTCTTGAGGAAGATGCGCTGATTGCCATCTTGTTACTTGAATCATCTCTCATCCTAAAACACGGTAATTAACGTTATTAACTTGGGTCTTTAGTCTGGGGTACATCATCACTTCTGTATTTTTGTCAGTTTGGAAACAGTTTCTATGGAGTGATGGCAGTGACAGTTGGTTCTTTCCACATGGAAGTGCAGGATTCCCCCTGGTGAAGGAAGGCTGAGACGGGACAGTGTAGTCCCAGTGCTGTGTGAAAGGGGCCCCAGGGGAACAGAAGACAAGGGTTAGATTTGGGTTTTGGTTTTTTTTTTTTGTTTATCTAGCATTACATCTGGCACTGAGACAAGAATTCATAGAATTGCCTGGGTTGGAAGGGACCTTTAAGATTATCTAGTCCAACCATCAACCTAACACTGACAAAAACCATCACTAAACCACGTCACTGAGCATTTTTATTAATTATGATGCAACACTTCACAATGGTAACACACATGATTGCATTACTAAGTAATTTGTGTCGGGTTTTTTTCCTTCAAAGTCCTAGGAGAAACTATCACATCTTTTAGCATAAGCCTTAATTATTTTTTTTTTAATTTCCTTAGGCCAGTCTGCACTATGCATAGCACCCAATTCTGTATTTCCATTTGACCTGAGTGATGAAAACTCCCTGCAGCAGAGAGACAGTTACCTCCTGCAGTGCCACCTTTTTTTTTCTTTCCTTAGGCCAGTCTGCACTATGCATAGCACCCAATTCTGTATTTCCATTTGACCTGAGTGATGAAAACTCCCTGCAGCAGAGAGACAGTTACCTCCTGCAGTGCCACCACCAGCTGCTGAAGTTCATTGCTGCTTACGGCCCAGGCATTCACATTAACGCTAACGAAGAATGAAAACTCCCCTCTGTAAGTAGAACCTGAGACTCCTACCTCAGCTTTTTGAGAGACTGCAGTTAAAAATATACAACCAATAAGGCTTTTTTTATTTTTTTAAGTCAGTTCAGTGCTGTTTTGCTAAGGAATAGAGCACAGCTGACAAGATTTATTTAAAAGTGCTGTTTGAAGGCAGGAGTGATGTCTTCATCCTGAGAGGCTGTGGCTTCAGAATAAAGCCTCAACCTGAACTTCCCTTCCTGGCTACCACGGTTCATCCACAGTAAAGCAGGGACTTTAATAAGACTACAACCAGCAATTAAACCAGTTTAGAATCCAATGTTTCACTTCAACTGTGTTAACTCTCCAGTTTTTCTGGTTGCTTCTTTTCAGCTGTGTCACCCAATAAGAGTTAAATAGTTTTAAGTACATTAAAATTCTTTTTTTCTATTGTAAGCCAACTTTCTTAAATTATTGTGTTCTATGTGTCTTTAAACATATAAAAGAATCACTGTACTGCTTGATGTTCTATGTCTTTGTTTGAAATCATAGCAACACAATATTAGATCAGGATTGTGGTGTGCTCTGAAAAAAAGCCTGTGTATTTCCACATTACTTTATTACACAGTGCAGGGGATAGTAGAACCCAGCAGAAAAGTAAAAAAACCTGGTTTTAGGTGATATGGTGGGTTGGCAACTCCACATTGCTGCAAGATCTGTGTGTCTTTAAACATATAAAAGAATCACTGTACTGCATGTTCTATGTCTTTGTTTGAAATCATAGCAACACAATATTAGATCAGGATTGTGGTGTGCTCTGAAAAAAAGCCTGCATATTTCCACATTACTTTATTATACAGTGCAGGGGACAGTAGAACCCAGCAGAAAAGTAAAAAAACCTGTTTTTAGGTGATATGGTGGGTTGGCAACTCCACATTGCTGCAAGAACAAGTATGAAGAACAGCAGACAAAAGATGAGGTCTCTGAGACACAGTATGTGCTTCTCCAACTATGGACTTTCCTGCACTTTACCTTCCTGGTAATATACTGATACTGAGCAAGTTTTACATCCAAGAGGTCCACATTAACAAAAAATAAAAAAAAAACTAACCAAAAAACCAAACAGCACAGAAAATTGTAGAGAGTTCTGGTGAATGAAGTTCTGGATAAGGTGAATAGCAAAGGTTTGGTAGGACTCCTACCCAGGATGTCCCCAGCAGGATCATGGTGCTACTGCTCACACAGCCCCAACAAACAACAACTCCAGTCACTGAAAACAGAAATCCAAGCTTTTATTCATACACACACTGCCTTAAAGATAAGCAGAAAAGCCACTCCCATTAACATTGTAAATACTTATTTAGACAAGATAACATTTAACTTTTCTTTACGCATTTTAACCCCCGGTTTACTCAATTTTGATACATTTATTTGGTACACTTACATATTCACATTAAGAGTGTCCACAAGGCCACCTCCCCTTCTAGAGTGACACTTTCACCTGAACACCATTTGAGGATTATTCACACATTTTCACTCAACAGCTACTCCTCTGCCTCATTTCTGAGGAGCAGGAAGGACCATGAAAGCATTTCCAAGTGAATTAGAGCTCCACGTTTCAGGCTGCTGGTTTCAACCTGAAAAAAAACATAAAAATTCAAAGTTAGTCTGTTTTCTGTATACACTTAATCTTATACAAAGTTATTAACTTTACTGGCATTTCAGATTCAAAGATACACATCAAAGCAGTCAGATGGGTAAACGGCAAAGATGTTTCATCATTATGCCAGCAAGATTCCTTCTACAATAGAGTTAAATAGAATTCCTTTACAAATCACTAGTTTTAACAAGCTTTATTAAGGAATGTTATGTAGAAAAAAAAATAATTCTGCAAAAAGAGCCCAACTTTTTATCCTTGCCTCTCCCCCGTTTTTCCTGTTTTAAGCAAAAATTACAAGCCTAGTAGCAGTATGAGCAGTAAAGGACACAAAGTCAGTCAGTCAGTGGGTGAAAAGCATCCTTGACCAACAGGCCATACCTTCAGCTGATGTAAAAAAGCAACTTACCTTCTTAAACACCCAAAATCCTAGAAGTGGATGGAGCCTACTGTTGGCTGGATGTGCGTACACACAGCTCAAAGACAGCACAGAAGGTCACCCGGTATTTAAATAAAATCAAAAGTGATGGTGACAAATCAAACTGGGAGAACCCTGCCAGTAGCTGGCACATCAGCTCAGCACAAAATTCAGCTCATTAAGCAGCAGAGTCATTATCATTATTGCCAGCAAAGTTTTCCACCCGTGGTGAGACTGGTGTGATTTATTTTTTTTCCAGGTACCAAACACAAGGGGATTTGTTAAGTTTGTCTCAAGAGATGAGCTCTGCTCTAGGAAGTGCAGTAGAATCTTGTTTTTAACTGTTTTAAATAGCACAAAATGGATTTGTTATTGCCAGGAACACAGGCCCCTCCCTGTTACAAGCCCCAGATGCCAAGTATCTTTCTAGAGGTGAAGTTCACTGCCCTGGTCACCCCTTCTTAAACACCCAAAATCCTAGAAGTGGATGGAGCCTACTGTTGGCTGGATGTGCGTACACACAGCTCAAAGACAGCACAGAAGGTCACCCGGTATTTAAATAAAATCAAAAGTGATGGTGACAAATCAAACTGGGAGAACCCTGCCAGTAGCTGGCACATCAGCTCAGCACAAAATTCAGCTCATTAAGCAGCAGAGTCATTATCATTATTGCCAGCAAAGTTTTCCACCCGTGGTGAGACTGGTGTGATTTATTTTTTTTCCAGGTACCAAACACAAGGGGATTTGTTAAGTTTGTCTCAAGAGATGAGCTCTGCTCTAGGAAGTGCAGTAGAATCTTGTTTTTAACTGTTTTAAATAGCACAAAATGGATTTGTTATTGCCAGGAACACAGGCCCCTCCCTGTTACAAGCCCCAGATGCCAAGTATCTTTCTAGAGGTGAAGTTCACTGCCCTGGTCACCTTTCCCTTTGGAATATATTCCAAAAAAACCAATACAGCCAAATGCCAGCAGGGATGGCATTTGGAACACACTGATCTTCAGTCTCTCACTTCCAACAAGCAATTGTTAATTCTTGGTTCCCTCCCCAGTTAAGAACTAGATGCCATGACAAACCTCTCTCCTCTCTGATTCCTTCGGGATTCTGGGATTGCTCCTGCTTTGTTCCGGGGAGCAAGTCTGAAGAGGTTTTACAGCTGCCACGATACCTTCTGTTAGAATTTCAGCCTCTTAACCCTGCACGCAGACAACCATATTCCTCCTCATTCCATCTGTAAGAAAATTGACAAGCTATAAACCAGTTTTAGAGACTTGGAGGCTTTCCCCAACCCTAAATACAGGAAGAAATAATTACTTCTGTAGCTCCAGAATTCACGTGTCATCTTTCTGCTTGCAAAGTTAACGGCGTGGCAGAGTCCAGATTGAAGATTCCCAAAGCCAGCAGTAACCAATTCATCTCTCAACTTCACTTGCTGCCTAAAACAGTGAAAAGAGAGAAAAAAAAAACCTGTCTGATTCAGAGAACTCCACTGCTGAGCCAGTAGCAGAAAGCTCTCCTTGGGGAAAATAAACCAGTCAAAAAAACACCAGCCTCCTGAGCAACCTCATTACCCGGGTAGAAAACTATGGGTGGCATCCCTGGAGACCAAGGTTAAACAGAGGCATGACCCAAAGCCAGCTTCAGGGCAAAAAAAATGACTAATTGCAGGGCTATTATGCTGGTCCTAACAAAGAACCATCGCTGAGGAGAGGATTACCCCAGCAGGTTACAGCCTGCAATGCTCACTCATGTGCCACGCTCTGGAGAACCTGGTGATGAGTTTTCCTGTGGGTTAAGGTCAGGCCCCATGGTCCTGGCAGGAGAGCATGGCCATGGAGACAGCCAACAACCCCATGGGTCCCATCCCTGCTACAACCCACCCATGCCAATGACCCAAAAGGTACAGTCAGGGTCACCACACACCACTTGCCAAATTCCTCCAGGGAAAAAAAAAAAAAGGAGGTAATTTATCTTTAGAATTAGGACAAGCGTTTGATGATGAAAGTGATGTATCAGCAAACCCAAGTCCCTTTAGATGGCCAAGCTGTCATTGCTTTGAAGACTTGATATACCAAGAGTATACCACTCAAAGCAACCACCGCTAGTGGCACATACTAATTAGGCACATACTAATTAGAATCATAGAATGGTTAGAATTGGGAGGGACATTAAAGATCATCCAGTTCCAACCCCCCTGCCCTGGGCAGGGACACCTCCCACCAGACCAGGTTGCTCCAAGCCCCATCCAGCCTGGCCTTGAACCCCTCCAGGGATGGGGCAGCCACAATTAGCTCCATCTTCATCTCCCAAGGCACGGGCAGGTCCCTGAAAGCCTGTGTCGGCCAGCGAGCGTCAGCTCCGACTCATCAGCTCCAGGCTCGGCCCGCTGTTGGCGACTCTTTACAGCCTTTTAAGTGACGGCGAACACTTCACAAAACAGCCCCCGCACACCGCCCCTTCAACCGCTGCCGCTACACGCCTCGCTGGGAACGCCACCACCCGGATTTCTTACGTTGAAGCGAAGGGAACGCTCCCAATTCCTCCCGAAAGCCCGCACCAGGAGCCGCTCTCCCCTCCGCGGCGCCATCTGCTCGCCCCGACAAGCGGCGCGGCCCCCCTCAGGCGGCGGCAGCTCCAGGCCCGGCCGCTCCCGGGAAGGGAACCGAGCCCGCGACCTAGCCCTGCCGGAGGACCCCCCGCCCCGCCGCAGCGGGGTTAAGCTCCGGAGACCCCCCAGGCCGCTCTTCGCCTTGGCGGGAGCCCCACGGGCGGCCGGTACCGCACACGCCATGCCCCCGCCTCCCCCCGCTCCGCGCCGCCACCGTCCCGCTCCTCAGGGCCGCGCAGAAGGGAAGAAGGAAGCGGAGCGATCCCCTTAAATAGTCCGCGCGGCACCGCGGCGCTTTGCGGCGGGGCGGGGCCGGGCCTACCCTGGACGCGCATGCGCACGGGGCGGCGAACCCCCTCCTCCCGCCCCGGTTCCAGTCCCAGCTCCGGTCCCGGGGCCGTTGGGTCCGACGGGGATCCCGTCATAGCGGCGCTTTGGGCCGTGCTGGGGCAGGAGCGTGTTCGGTTTAGAGAGGGGATAATCCATAGCGGCTCGTTGGCGTGAAAATAGGAGCGCGGAAGGGGAAGGGTGTGCTGCGGCCCTGAGGGGAGCTGCGGGCCCTGAGGGGAGCGGCCTGGCTCCTGCCGCACCCCGTGGTGCGTGGCAGTCTGTGGGGGCGATTTCAGTCAGAAAAGTGAAGAATTTATTGCAGGTGGGTTAAGAAAGTAAACAAGATTTACCTGAGATGGAAGCACGGCCACTTTTATTTTGTTGTTGTTCTATATACAACAATATTCTTAATAAACCCCAGTATTTTCAGCCTTAACCCGCTTCCATTCTCACAGCGCAGCCAGGCTCTTAGAAGTCAAAGCCATGGAAAATAAAATCTTTTCGGTGTTGCCCTTCTTTGCACGAGCACAATGAATGCTTTGTGCTAAAGGTCTCCGAGGGAAAAAAAAAGTAGTGGTTGGCAGGGTATGTGTTCAGAGAAAGCAATGCATGGCTGCAGGGCACAGTGCTGTAGTTACTGAGGAAAAAAAAAAACCATCTGTATGCAGCAGGATCCTGCATAGGCAGGTTATTTGGACCAAGAAGGCCAATGGCATCCTGGGGGGCATCAGGAAGAGTGTGAGCAGCAGGTGGAGGGAGGTCATCCTGCCCCTCTGCTCTGCCCTGGGGAGGCCCCATCTGGAGCACTGGGACCAGTTCTGGGCTCCCCAGTTCCAGAAGGACAGGGAACTGCTGGAGAGGGGACAGCAGAGGCTACAGAGATGATGAGGGGCCTGGAGCATCTCTCTGATGAGGAGAGGCTGAGGGACTTGGGGCTTGTTAGACTGGAGAAGACTGAAGGGGGGATCTGATCAACACCTATAAATACTGAAAGGGTGGGTGTCAGGAGGATGGGGCCGGTCTTTTTTCAGTGGTGCCCAGGGACAGGACAAGAGGAAATGGGCACAAACTTGAACATTGGAAGTTCCATCTGAACATGAGGAGGAGCTTCTTTTCTGTGAGGGTGGCAGAGCCCTGGCAGAGGCTGCCCAGAGAGGTGGTGGAGTCTCCTTCTCTGGAGACGTTCAAACCCACCTGGACACGTTCCTGTGGGACCTGCTCTGGGTGGACCTGCTCTGGCAGGGGGTTGGACTGGGTGATCTCCAGAGGTCCCTTCCAACCCCAAATCATTCTGTGATTCTGTGATTTGCTCATGGCCATTCACCATCCCATCGCTCTGAAGGAAATGCTATGATGACAATAGCTTGAGATTTGCAAAGATAAACTTTAAGTTACTCCATGAAAAATGGTTCCTTTTGATAGCAATGTGTGAACGTTGTAGAATTTTATTCCTAAACACGTGTGTATTTCCAGTGCCAAACGCCAAGCTGTTATATTTCAGTACACAAGATACAAACTATTCCTAAGAAATGCAACATCCCATCCAAACAGCAGGTTTGAAGCAAAGGGGGTCAGAGGATCTGTTTTGATCCTGCTGTAAATTTCTGGAAGACAAGAGCTCTTGTACTGCTCAGAGGAAGTGTGTTGCCAAACCTGGGGTCCAGGCTCTGGGAGAAAAGGCATAGACATTTGCAGCTGACGCAGAATAATCGGTCTCAGGGAAAAAAGAAATAAAAATCCCAACTCATAAATATTGGGAGTTCTCCTCACGTTAAAAACTGGTTTTCCTCTGCATATTCTTACTGGCTTTTAGTATGTCTGTAAAATGCTGCAAAAGTCTTTGCATTGTGGCCACAATTTATACCAGCGTTTTGGGTACAAAGTACCTCCTGTCTTTGCTGCTGTAAATACTCCTTTATTGTAGTGAAAGCCTGAGTAGAGCTGTTTTCTCCGTGCCACCCATTCATGACTTTCCATGTTTCTAGCCCTCATTCCTATTCATTTTTCATGCTTCATGATTAAACAGTCAGAATGTTTCAATTGCATTTAATAGAAGAAGCCTTTTAAAACGGGGGGAGGGGAGGTGTTTTTTACATTTTCCTTTTTTTTTTTCCATTTTCCTTTTTTTTTCCATTTTTCACACTTTTCATTTTTTCCTTTTTAATTTTTTTCTCTTTTCCTTTCTTCTTTTTTCCTTTTTTTTCTTTCTTTCATTTTTTTTGTTTTATTTATTTTCCTCTTTTCTTTTTTTTCTTCTTTTTTTTTTCCCTCTCTCTTGCATTCTGTCCCTTCCAGGTGTATCACTTCAGTGCCTGTGAAGTGACCAGCACCTCAGTGCTAGGTAAGAGCATGCAGCTGATGCAAACCATCACTGCATTTTGTGTTTTCTCCGTGCCATTTCGGATGCATGATTCATATGTGGTTTATTTCTATTATCAGACAGCTGCTCTACAGAAGCAGCTCGAGGTTTGACACCAACTTCTGGCTATTTTCACTGGTCCTTTTCCCCCTGACCTGATGCCACTCATTTAGATCTCTGTTACTTACAGAACTAGCCTGAATTCCCTGTGCTTCTACGTTGCTACTTGGTGTTTTATCAGTTCTTAATTAACTTAATTAACTATCGTCACCTTCACGTCTCCTCATTAATATCTCTGAACACAAATAGCTGTCCCAGGAATAAGAGGTTGTACTCACCCCTTTTTACTCCTGTTAAGTACAGTTCTTTAAAAAGTCCGACTCCTATTTATGAGTAGATACTTGTCTGCCCTTTTGTATGCATTTTTTTCACAAAATGCACTAACTCATGTGTTGAATGTGCTCTGGCTGCTTAGTTATCATCTTTTATTAAACCACTACAACTGTAAATAAGAAATACATGCCTAAAATAAATAGATATATATTAAAAGTGTGATGACGTGCTCAGCACCTCTGAAAAACATCCCAAGTTTGACTCAAGACTGAATGCAATACAATGATGTTTTTATATATATAAAGGTTGTTCTTGCTCATATTTTTGTTTTCATTTTTCATAAATGCCATTTTAAAACTTCAACTGTGAAGTCTTCAGAGAGAAATGACTATAAATGCAGAATATTACTATTAGAAACTATCGGTCCTGTATGATGAGAAACATTTTGCAACTCAATAAATACATAACGTCCACGGAATAATATTTAATGAAAGAGTTTACCTCAGCCGTAACAAACTATACGGGAAGGACAGTGTTTTACAGAACAGATACATCAGATGGCATTTGTGCATTTAGTTTCAGCTTTTCTTGCCTAACTGTGGATATTTTAGAGTGAAAAACGTGCCGTGACCAAGCCAAGTCTTTGGGCTCATTTGCTGGAATGCATGAACCTGCTAAAAGACAAGAGAAAGGAACCGTGGTGTCTTCAGCGGACAAGTGGGTTTTTGGGGGGCAACAAACACATTTTAAACCCCGTAACATGCAACACAACAATTATAGTTTGTCTGTAGATAATAGTTTTTAACTTAAATAGATATAAGGTGTAATAAATAACTTTTTTTTTTTTTTTTAAAGCGAGGAGGGCGATTAGATTTGGGAAGTTGTTGATGTTTCTCCTTGGTTGGCGCCGTCTCCTTGTGCCGAGTGAGTCAGGAACTGCCCCGTAGCTCCGATGTACAACCTGGAACGCATCGGCCACTTCTGCAAGAGAGGAGGAGGGAAGGACACGCTGAGACACCCAGCACCTTCACAGCCTGAAGGCAGCTCTCAGCAAAGCTTTAAACCCCGCTTGGAGTCACAGAAATGGGGAAAACAGCACCACAAAGTTCCTGTTTTGTCATTTGTTGGAAGCCAGGTAAGAGAACCTCAGCCTGGGGTAAATATTTAATTCTTGTAGCTCCACTTTCTGAACCTGAGTGAGTCAGTTCCTGCAAAGAGCCCTGGGGTGGCTGCAGGGTGCCCGCAGCTGGGTGCCCTTCACTTAGGGGGAAGACTTCAGCTCCGCTGTGATGTGCTGAGTTCATTACTGGAGGGCTGGGTGTTTCAAAAGACAACGTGCAACGGATGCAAAAATACCTGCAGTGCAGCCAGAACCTTGTTCCAAAAGAACATAGACTTTTCTAAAGACACTTTTAGGAATAAGCTGGGTAATGAAAGAGAGGTCCAGGAACTAGAAAAGCTTAATGCTGCAGTTAAATCTTAGCACTTCTACTTAAAGACACAAAGCAGCAGCAGATTTGTACTTGGAAAGACTGTCCAATCTCATTCACTATTTTTATTTCAAGTGTGATGTTATGAATTCCTCCAGAATAAGACATCTGAGTTTAAAGTCATTAACTGTATTTTTTTGTTTGCTGTACACACAGCTGTACGTGCCTATTTGACTGTGCTCACTATTTGTATTTACTGTGCTTGGTCTATGAGAGTGGTTAAAGTCCTTGTCTGTACTGCTTGGCTCATATCCTGCACTTTGAGGTTTTTTTAAAGCACCTGCTGTGCTTTATCTGTGACACTTTCGTTCTACTGCCAAGGAAAAAATTAATTTACTACCAGGAATATTAGAAAGATCGATTAGACTCAGAAAATCTTTACAAAACTAAGTACAGGTAAATGGCACATAAATGACATTATAAAAACCACAACTGCTAGATGAATCCAGTATTGCTGTATTCCAGTAGCCCGGGAAATGTGCATGGGGATCATTTAACTGCTGTAATAACTATTTTAAAGTATTTTTCTGCCAGCAAGAGTTGGCAGCTGATAAAAAGTACCTTAAGGGGCCTGTGTCCTTTCACTCTGACCAAGGGGACTAACAGAAGCTGCTCCAAACTTATTTTGAAATATATCACAATATTTTTTTTCTTAAATTATAGCCATCTTCTAATTGATAAAAAAGTTTTGCTTTCTTAATGAGCCTGCTAATCGTTTAAATAGCTTCAGAAGCCTACGTTCACCTCATGCTTTTTACAGCGACCAACACTGTGAACAAGAAACTCTCTGTGAACTAGTCACTTTGCAGGAACTGGAGATTATTTCAGAAATTAATCTTAATTAAAATCATTCTGAATTCATCAGACTCTTAAGGAAAAAAAAAAAAAAAAAAAAAGAAAAGAAAACACTCCAGAGCTCTAACTCACTCCCTGAGCCAAAGAAAATACCCGTCAGGATTTGAGTCCCATCAGTCAGTGAGCGACGTGTCTGAGAACCTTTCCCAGCCCCAGGTCCTCTCCAGGAGCAGCTCCCCCTCCACGTCCCCTCGGCATCACTTTTTAATGAAGGGAAGACCAACAACTGTGTAGACCAACTCGACTAAATCAGCACATAGAAAAGTTCTTTCCCAGAAGGAATTAATGCATGGCCAGTAATTAACATCCCCTCCCATACCTTGGGCTGCCTCAGCAGAAGAACCCAAGCAGGCCCAACCGTGGCTGGTGTCACTGCTGTGGGACAGCACATCACCTCAGCCACACACATCTCCTCCAGCCAGTTTGGATGGAAGATCACCAAGGCTTCCACACAGGGACCAAGGAGGTGCTGGTGCCCCTCTGGTGCTGCCCTCCGCCTTCACTGCCAACGGACCAAGTCCCACTAGATTTGGACCTACGTTATATTTGATATTTTTGTGCAAAGTCCCTGAAGCCGGAGGGACAAAGCTCCAGGACATTTCCATCAGGGCCCTAGCATGCAAGTGGAATGGTTACTCTGGGCTGTCTTTTCATGTATTAACTCTAACAAGGTAAATAAGCTTGAGATCTTTTGTTTCATAGAATCATAGAATGGTTTGGGTTGGAAGGGACCTTAAAGATCATGCAGTTCCAACCCCCTGCCTTGGGCAGGGACACCTCCCACCAGACCAGGTTGCTCCAAGCCCCATCCAGCCTGGCCTTGAACCCCTCCAGGGATGGGGCAGCCACAGTTCCTCTGGGCAACCTCTTCCAGTGTCTCACTGGAATTCATTCACAGCAATGAATTTCTTCCTGAGATCTAATCTCAATCTCCCCTCTGCCAGTTTAAAACCATCACCCCCCGTCCTATGGCCCCCCTCCCTGAACCACAGCCCCTCCCCATCTCTCCTGGAGCCCCTTTAGGGACTGGAAGTTTCTCTAAGGTCTCCCCGGCGCCTTCTCTTCTCCAGGCTGAACACCCCCAACTCTCTCAGCCTGTCCCCACAGCAGAGGGGCTCCAGCCCTCGGAGCATCTTCATGATCCTCCTCTGGACCTGAAGTATCTACCCGATACTCATCTAAATATCTTGAACACCTATTTATTTGCTCACTGAGAGAAGGTGGTCGCTGCCCCTCAGCTGTCCTACCTTGACAGGGTGGAGGTATCCATCCCCTCGGAGGGTACCCAACCCCTCTCCCGGTGCCTCCTCCTCATCTTGAAGGCTGCGGGTGAGGTGTGCGATGTAGGTGGTGGCCAGGAGGAGCACGTCCAGCTTGGAGAGCTTGGTGTCGGGCGGCACGGAGGGGAGAGTCTTCTGCAGCTCGAGGAAGGCATGGCGCAGGGTCTGCACCCGGCTGCGCTCTCGAGCGGCGTTGGCGGCGGCGGGTCGGCCGGGAGATGTCCCAGCCCGGGGTCCCACCACCGAGGGAGGGCAGGAATTGCCACCGGCAGCAGAAGGCAGCAGGGAATCTGGTTCCGGGCCGGGGACCTCCTCGCCGCTCTCAGCCGAGTGTCCACAGTCCATCGGTGACGTGAAGGTCCTGCAACCAAGAAGAGCATCAACCTCGACAGGCTGGATCGATGGGCTGAGACCATCTCTACAGGCAGCGGGGAACGGAGCCACGGAGCACCCTACCAGGTGTTTGAAGGATGAAGCTTGGGCCACTCTCAGTGGGGAACGGAGCCACGGAGCACCGTACCGGGTGTTTGAAGGATGAAGCTTGGGCCACTCTTTGAAAGGATTGGGAACCGATCTGTCCTCCCTTCTGTCCTCCCCCCACTAACCCTTCTCGGGGATTTCCCTGCTTATCCCGTAGCTTCTACTTTTTCCAAACCTTCAAAGCATCTTGTAAACCGGGTTTTGGCCATCGGGGGGCAAAAGAACCCTTTAAAAACAACAGCAAAAAGCTCCTTTTGAGCGAAGCTGAAAATAACGACGGCAAAGTCGTTTCCCCCAGCTCTCAGAAAAGATGGTCAGCTCTGCCCAGAATAAAACCCACAGCCCTCTAATTAATTTAATTCCCCAGCAAAATGCAATTCAATCGTTATTCCCCCAAGTGCTAAAATAATACCTGCTCCCGTTGTCCTCAGTCAAGGGGCTTTTCCAGGAGACTCCGACAGATCCCAGCTTTCAGGCGTGGGGAGCAGCAGCTTCTGTGGTGGCCCAGCTGGACAGCAGGGGCAAGAAGGAGTTATTAAAATTTTCAATCGCAGTCAAATACAATGTAATTTAAGAAATTTAAATAAAATGGATGCACGTGAATGACTGAAAATCTACATTTGCAAAAATTTTAAGCCTCATTTTGCAAAGCGTTTCAACCCCCTGCTGAAATCCCACTCTGTGACCTCGGCTGGTAACGGCAAAAAAACCCCAAGACCATGAAGATTTATAGCAGAAAAGAGGAAATGTTTCAAAACAATCTTTTTTTTTGCAATGTTCTAATTTGGTTGTATTTAGAAGGCATTATTTTTTGGCAGTTTATTGTGTTAAAAATTATTAAATTGCTGTTAATCTGACAGTTTTGTCAGGTGCTGTTCTCTTAAATACAATTTAGACTGAAATTATTTGTGAAATGCTCTCTGTGCGTTATAATTAATTATCACATAACCAAAGGAGAAAAATAAACCTCACTATTCTTTTATATTGTGATAATTATGACCTGTATAAAATAGACTCACATTAAAGTCTACATGAACTTACCTTCAGTGAGAGCTGAGAAATGATCCTTAAATTGGCGTTTTTGCCTAATTTAAAATAAAAAAGGTCCCGTGTGCTTTTTTTCTTGGTATTTTCTCGCCGTGTTAAGTCAGGGTCAGATCTAGGCTCATTTTAGTGGCCAAAAAAATCATTTCTATTGCCCCTTGTCAGTACAAGCATCAAATAGAGTCTGTTGTTTCAGGTTTGTCAGCGGGATTGCTCGTGTCCCCGTCGAAATCCCACCGAAAAGAGGGATTCTTCCCCCATTACTGGAAAAGTGGGAATTACCCGAGGGTGGAGACAGCCTGGGTGAGTATCAATACCTGCTCCTCTGCTGAAGCACAGGACGGGGGTGATTCACAGGCAGTTTGGGGTTTGCTGTGCTGGTGTTTGACCAAACTCAGTGCTAGAACGACAGCAAATAGAGCTGCACGTACCTAAAATCCTCATTTCCTTGGGCGCCCCTGGAAGCAGAAGTTTCTCTTTTCAGGAGCTTCACCTCGACATCGGATTAAATCCTGGACCTGCAGGAAAAAGGGGGGGAAAAAAGGGCAAAATTTCAGCTGTGGAGATGAGAGATTTCACTCTCAATTAGTTTCTTCCCCATTAGATTTTCATGTGGAGTATTAGATTTCCCCACGCAGCGATACCTGACGGCCCCGGAAAGTCCAGGGCACGGAAAGCTGGGATCTACTCCAGGTGTGTCCAGGTGTGGAGCCAGAACACGGTGGCTCCTGGGCTTAGGGTGGTCACTGGTCACACCGGTGCCACCAGGGAGCACGCTCCGGCTGCTGCCCTCTCTGTAAAGCCAGGAATCACCCAAATTTCACCCCCCAAAAAAATCATTGCTGAAAACTAACTAAATCAAATGCTTCTGGGAAACAGTCTATTTCCACATCATGGCCTTTAAAATTTTACAAGAAAGGAGTTCTGGGCTTTTTTAAGGATAATTGGAATAATTTTGCTCGCTGCCTGGTCCGCGGAGACCTGGAAACGGGGGCGGGAAAGGAAATAAAAGTATTTCTATTATTTCTGAAGCGTTTCTAATGCAGGCAGGTGCGTTCCTGGGGTTTGTATGAAAGTACAAGGGCACAAATCGCTTTGAAATTGAATTTGTTTCCGAAGAAAAGAGCGTAACAGTTATTTTAGTCCAGTATTCCCTGGGAATGAAGGGTGGGGGGGTGGTGGAGGCAGCCTGCCCGGAGAAGGAAAAGATGGGAAAGATGGGAAAGAAGGAAAAGATGGGAAAGATGGAAAAGGTGGGAAAGAAGGAAAAGGTGGGACGGGGGGGTGGTGGAGGCAGGAGAAAAGATGGGAAAGACGGAAAAGATGGGAAGGATGGAAAAGATGGGAAAGAAGGAAAAGGTGGAAAAGATGGAAAAGGCCAGAGCAGAGCGCGCGAACCCAACAGAAATAGGTGGAAACCTCGCCAGAGCAGAGCACGCGAACCCAACAGAAATAGGTGGAAACCTCCAAAAAAGTTGTTCGCAGCCTTTTCGGTTGTTCCTTTGGGGGGGTGGACAATCCCGTAGTGAATCTCGATTATTTTACCTGCTTTTTAGTAAGTTTTTTTTTTTACCTTTCGCGTCACTCCGGTAACGAAAACACCCCGCGGTCCCCGGTGCGGGGAGGAACTTACCCTTCCCCAGCGATGCGGTGCGGGTCTGTCCGTCTCAGCCCCTTCCTTCCCCGGCCCGGCCCGTCGCTCCCGGCCCCCGCCGGCGCCGTTTATAAACCGGGGCGACCGGTGGGTGCGGCGGGGACCGGGGTTGGGG